CAAATATATTCAGATTTCTGCTCCATGCGCTCAGAAGACCCTGCATCTTGTCACTGTCTTCACCTAGCAGAAAAATATCGTCTCCAAACCCCGAATCAACTAGATGGCCTCTAGGCAGGAGGTATATGAATCCTTGTAAAATCAGACGTACATAAGGTTATGCCCATTAGTATGTCTAAGACGAAGTTAAATAGAAAGTGGCAGTGAGCATCTCTGGCGGATACCAGTAGTTGTCGTCAATTCATATAACAACTTTTCATAAGCTGTTACACGGCTGTATGAGTTCGAGTAGAGTCCTGATTAGTATTACTTGCTTGATACTCCATTGTTAAAGACTGCCAATAGACCCCACGGTTGACAGAGTCAAATGCTGCTCTTACGTCAAGAAACATGGCAAGTGTCGGCTGCCGGTAGGTATACCTGTGTTACAGAACCTGTCAGAGGGTGAAAATCTGTTCCATGGATCCCCGTCCAGGTCTGAAACCTGCCTCCTCTTCTCAAATTTATGGTTCTCGAGCTCCGGTTAGGTGTTGGATAACTGTAGGGTCTAGGATCGTGTATTCAATATTAGTCAGACTAATTCCCCAGTGATTGTCACAAGAAAACTTCTCTCCCTTCTCATAGACTGGGATGATGACGCTACCTCCAACTGCCATACACTACCTGGTACTTCTGTCACTTTAAGCAGCAGTCTTCTGCCTCAATCCTTGAAAACTTCAGGTGGCAAACTGTTAAGTCATGCTGCTTTCCATCGTTTCTGGTTCAATACAGCCTTCTTAACTTCAAGGAGACTTGGAGGACCGACATCTACATCCCATTCAGGTTCGCGCTGGATGTTGAACAACTGAAGTGTTATGGTCCACTTGGATTGTGCTTCAAAGTGTTCTACCCAACATCCTAGCCACCTGTGCTTGGAGGTTATCAGCGTCCCATCCTTTTCAGCGGTGGTTTTACTAACCTTAGTTTTCTTGTTGCCAGTGTCTTTAATAGGCCAAAATAGTTGCCGAGTTTTACCCAAGGTTGATCCCTTCTCCTTTCTCGCTCTTGCCACCCGCATCTGCTCACGATCGACATGATGACTCTTGGTCAACTTACGTTTAAGTTGCTTCCGCTGTTCATCGTGATCAGAGCCAGCTGGAATCAATCTTCTGACATCAATCAAATTGGATGACATCGCGGAAATCCAGTGATATTTGCGAACCTTCGCACGTAGGTTACCAACTTTCTTTACCGCTTTTACTACAGCAGACTTATCAATCCAAGTTTCCTCAGGATGAGGATGGCTGTCAAATTCACATAAAGGCTTACCAAACTTCCCGGAATACGTACTTGGTATCCTTATCTGTCAGCTTTCTGTGACCAATAAGGCACGGACATACACGAGCTTGTACTAGTGCGTTATTGGAGTCCAAACAGTTACTCCTAAAAGGGTGGCAATCCTCCACCGATCCTCTCCAACGATGGCGTATAGCAGTGTGATCTATATGTGTGAATCGTTGGTTAGAGGTCAGCGGATGCCAGGTGAGAGTGTTCCTATTTATGCTTAAAGTTAGTGCTGGCCAGAAACAAGTGATTGTCAGAGCAAAGCCGCGGAAGATGATTACTGTTGTCGGTTGGTTGACTTAAGATTCCGTAGATGCCTCTGCTATTGGCTCAGCTTCCGTATTTGAGTGTTAAAATCGCCCGCCATTATGACCATATCTGGACGTTTCTTTTGTGTAGCAAAGTTGACAGCTCCTCATATAATTCATCATCCGAACTGCAGCCGATGTGCTTGTGCATAGCCGGGGATTACGAAATGGCATCCGTTGGTTTCACGGTCCTTCCTAGTTCTTACACATTCACTCAGTGGAAAAACACGTAGACGGCTGTTGACTGGTATCCAGTCGAGAAGCTCACTTTCTGCTCTACGGGTAAATGGTATGCCTACACCAACGAGTCCACAAGAGTTTGCTATTCAGCCTCCGAACAGTCATAAAGTGAATTTCGAAGATTCATATCAATGGTCAGGTGAGATTATTCTAATAACCACACAAAGATCCTGTATACTTGTCTCATACATACATCCATGGCTACAGTTTCCAGAGTTTTGGCGAGCGATGCTTGCTGGCTAATGTGGCATACAGTTCTGATTTGAAAGACCCCAAAATGAAGTCGATGATGGGGTCTTAGGTGACTTGAAATGAGATTTTGATCGTTGCAATGGTCGCACTATGAGACACGGGAGTTGGGTCACATAGTGACCACAACAACTTGTTGGTTATTTAGGTGACCTCGTGAGACATCCGTTACAAGTTCACCGAATGCGCGAGGTTATCATTTGAAAGAATGGTTTTGAACTTAAGAACACCTTGAGCCTATGAATCACCTAACTAGGTATGTTAGAAGATTTAAATTACCTCTGATAAGTATTGCAATGAATCTACTGAGTAGTTTTTAACGAAATTCTATTACATGATCCCCAAGCATTTATTAGCTATTAGAAGTAAAGGAGCGTTGTCAATTTTAGATTACCTACCCTCTAATGGTGCACTTTATCCAATGGAGGTATTTCGTGTTTGGAAGTGTACTTATTGGTATGGGAAATGAGGATGTTTGCGATATGGACAAAATTGTTGACATCTCAGAAGTTTTTCATAATTTATTTTTCATTATCTGCAAGTTTAAGACGCATTTTTAGGCCGTTTTCGTAGTTAAGTTTTAAGATTGCTTACCGAAAATGCAGGCTTGAAATCACCTGGTAAAGAATGATAATGCGGTTAAGAATTGAAGGCATTTTTTCTACTAGAGCCTATGCCATATTTTTAAAGAATATTTTTGTTCCAGACACATTCCCTATACAATATCAGCATTTTATTTGCACCTTTAAGAGTTTTGTTGGCTATCCTAGTACTTTTTCTTCACCTTTCCCAATTAACACGTCACTTTTTCACGCTTATCCTTCATTTTGTTTACTTTCTCCTAATGTGATGATGTCAGGTGTAACAAACTGGATTGGGTTACAGCTATGAGAGATCCAAAATTTTATTGTACTTTCTGTGTTATGTAAAACTCTCAGATTGGACATCCGAACAACTGCATCATAGTGCAATAATAAAACAGAAAAAGATGCTGGGGAAAAGTTATCGATTTAAAAGAAAGTCTTACGAATCCAGCATTTTCACCATACACTGCTTACATTTTTTAGTTTCTAGGATTTCTGTCTTCATAGGATATGGCAGACGTTACATTTTTCTTAGCTTTGCACATGAGTCATTTATTGTTGATTAAACTATCGAGGATAATCCTGGTTGGTAGACACTGGTCTGTAAATTCCAGTTTGGTGGTTTATTGCATTATGATTATCGGTGGTGATTCATGCTCGAAACGTCACCAAGTAAACAGTACTGTGCCATTGTGTGCTATATCAAATAAACAAATCTGTCATGGTTGTAATAGTACTTGTAATTTCCCTTTGCTATACAGGGCTCGACCTCTGTTAGCAAATAAACTTCTATGTGGATGTCTCGATACTGCCCGGATGTTCATGATTTTATATTGATCTTGATGACTAGCAGAGGAATCCAGGACGCGCGTCTCGTCCTATTCGGGCTCTCCAGCTGGATGTACCTCCACCCCAGTGAGTGATGTTGTTCCCACCGAGGCTCGGACCCAGTGCCCTTCGTTTCAAACGCCGGAGCGTTGTTCACCCGACCACTGGCGCACGATAGCTACCTCTTGTCCAACGGGTATCAGTTGCTGTAATGATATTTGCAATTTCCCGTTGCTATACAAACCCGAATCGCTATCGTACAATCGTACCCCAGTGGCTTAATGGATAACGCCCTGGCGTTTGGAGCGAAAGGTACTGGGTTCAAGTCCCGGTGGGAACATCCCTAACGAGTGGAGGTGCACCCAGCTGATGGGTCCCAAATAGGACAAAACATACGTCCTGAATTCCTCTGCTAGTCACTAAGATCACTGTGAAATCTGATAAGGATTTATTACAGTCTACTGAACAAAACTTTATAGAACATGTGCACCGAGGAATGTGCCACACAAAATAATTTAACATTGAAAAGGCGTAAATGTTGCAATACGGTGGAAAGGAAAGAAAAACCCAGCGTGATTCAAGCCAAAATGGCAATAGTGTATTTAGAAAGTAGTCCAAAGGATATGTTTAACGGAGTCTTCACTACCTTCCTTTTATTTTTCAGTAAGAAACGAAATTAGGCTACTGCGTGACTACCACCGGTATCGATTCTGAGCCACCACATCGGTTATCATGTTAAGTTGCTGAGTTTTGAATTGCAATGAAGTACTGCTTTGTAAGAACAATTGTTTGACCACTCCAGAATTCCAATCGAATATGTACAGCTGAGTAGAAAAGAATAAACACGAAATTTTTTAAAGAAACGCGAAAAAGCAGTGCAGTCTGATTCTTAAGGTAGTGGTGTGACAGATGCAGCGTTTCAATGGTTACCACTAACCAATGTTGGTTCTTACACCATTGGCTTAAAATCAGGATTTACAAACTCCTCTTTGATCAACTATTTTCATTTACCGGTCAGGTTATGTGCACGAGAAATTCTTCCTCCTACACGTTTAGGGAAACAGCCGTGCCACATGAAAGACTTCTTTGGCTATCATTGCGGAGATATCGTCAGTCATACCAGAACTTCTGGGTAATGGTTTGTTATTTAGTTTGACAGACTCTTGATCCTGGACAGGATTTAAACAATGCGTTTTGCACTGTCAGTCTATCGCTCTACTGACTGAGCTATTAAAACCAACTGCTAACCAAATTTCAACGTCGCTTCAACCACTGAATGTCAGTCTAATGTCTGATGTTTTTTCAGCTGTAGCTATTCATGTTTTTTAGCACTATTTATTTCTGGTAAATCCTTGACATACAAATACAGACCAATTAACACTTCCTTCCTTCTTCTAGAGCCGATCGATACAAATGGATGAGTCTTTTCTTCGTTGGTGCATTGGGCCTCTATGCTTCTCGTGCGATTATGCCGATTGCCTCAGTTGATATTGCCTCAGAAATGAGTTGGAATCGCAAGGAGATGGTGAGTTATAAGCAGTTGTTTGATTTATTTAGTAATTCTCTGTTATCCACTGAACATTTGTATACAATTATTCTTCTGTTTTTTGATTCATAACTGGAAAACTGTGGGTATAAGTTAATTTATTCGTTATTATGTCTGCAAGTGCTTAAGTGTCACCTTAATTTTTGCCTTGAGAAACTCAGGTTTAATGCTGATTGATGCCTATTATTTCCCGTTGATTATGGGTCCTGGATCAAATTGAACGCTGTCTGTGCGTATATAGACTCATTAAGTAAATGTCTCAGTAATTCTTCAAGTTTAATTTTTATGTCACTTGTTTGGTGGCGGCTAGCAGGAGAGTCCAAGAGGCATGTTTCTTCATATTTGGAACTTGTCAGTTAGATGTACTTGCCTCCCAGTGTGTGATAATGTCTCCACTAAGACCCGAAACCAGCACCCATCGCTTCAAATGCCAGATCATCATCCACTGGGTTACTGGGTCATGGGAACCACATCTTATGCAACAGCTACTATTTGCTAGTTATTAGTGCTCTTCACTGCCCGTTAGTTATTTTACTGGAGTATTCGTCCTCACACCCTAATTAGTTTAGTTCATAGGCAACGACTTCTCCTAAGGACTCCAGAAAATCCATATCGAAACAAGTGACCGATGAGCACTGGAGAGTAATTCGACTACTTGGTTTCGAGGTAGTATTCATCATGGACCGACACCAGTTAGAGAAGAACTGAAAACCTGAAAGCCGTGAACTGTGGTATCAGCCAGATGAAATGTGAGGACTAATACTCACCGACAACACGAAAGGATAGCCTCATTATGTCATGAATTGACAAAAGTTGAAAAATAGGAATCATTGGTTCCCGATCTGAGTCGTAACATGTTTATTGTGAGACCTTATGACCTTGTTTGAGCACAACTGAACAGCCCCAAATTAGGACGAGACAGTAGTTCAATGTCCCCAAGTTTTCAATAGTTTTCTGGTTGATGTATATATGTGCTAAAAAACCCTTTCAAATTGAATGTTGATAGTGAAAACAGAACTACCTTTTTTTGCGATTCTAGAATTATTACTTTCTCAAAATGGTTCACCTGTGTTTCTAACCTTGTGGATCCACACAGCTATAAAGTATCCATTAGGAATGTGGAAATGGGTAACATTCGTTATACGTTAGTCAATTGGCCCTCTCATTTTGTATTCTCTGTGTTATATTTCACTAGTCTGGTGAACGTTGGCTTATTCGTCCTTTGAAAAGTCGCATGTTAATAAATGGCGTTAGTTTAATGAAACTTGCCATGTTAGCAACACTGATTTCTTCATTTTCATGAAATCCTGCAGTTGTCACAATGTTCATAAAGAAGTTTCAATGATTAAAAATGTATATTCAGCTCCCTATTGTCCTGTATCCAAACTAATGTTTTACTTACAATTTATGCATTATTACTAGCATACGGTAGAAGAATAATTTGATAAGATTCTTTTGGTTATTCTTATCAAACTACTTACTGCATATTATGTATTCGTTCTATCTTACAGGGTTTCATGATGGGTGTCTTCTTTTGGGGATATGCTATCACTCAGTATTTAGGCGGTTATCTGAGCGACATGTTTGGTGGAGAGGTTATCATTGCGATTAGTTCTGTTGGATGGTCTTTGCTGACTATATGTTTTATATGGCTACCAAGCATCAACATCGGCGTATATAATGTCTATGGGTTTTTTATCATTGCTCGTTTCTTACTGGGTATATTTCAAGGTAAGTTGTGTGTATTATTTTTCTTATCACAGTGGGTTTGTAAATGTACTCAAATAAAAAGTTTTGAAGTTAAACCTGACTTTGTTTTACTCCTTTTACTGTTTTGTATTGCTTATTATTCCTGGTCTAAGCGATTTCAATATTTGAGTGGTAATTTTTTTAGGCATAGACATGTAGACAATATCAGCATAGGACCTGGTTTTAGTGTGTAACTTTTCCAGTTGCCCACATCTCATGTCATCACATCAATCCAGAACACTAAGATGAGGAATCTGGCTGGTTCGAACCACGTCGCTGTCCAAAATTTCATTTCACCTTCAATCATCACCAGGTATCAGCACTAGTCTCAAACTTCAGCCCAGATAGTCAAAATGATAATGGATAAAGAAGAAAGCAGTCAAAAGTTATAAAAATTCGTGAAAAGAGTGCAAAGAGAAATGAGATGTTACTGAAACCTGATATGACGATTAGGATAAAGATAATGTGGGGATAGACCTGTGCCACTGACATCGATTGTGAGCCATGTCACTTAAGGTTTCCTGCCATTGGCTTCTGTTATCAAGCTAACGCAGACCAGGAAGTTTACATTTCCATACTTGACTCGAACCAACAGTCAAAAACCTCATGAGTTCATACCATGTTTTGTCTAACCACCTTTACCTTTTTTTCAGCCTACTTCAGCCACCAGTACGCAGTTGGGCAGATGATTACCAGGTATTTGTAACACACGTCCCAACCATCTGAGTATTTGAAAATTCATAACCCCATCAAATGACTTTCCTCTTCTTGCCAAAACTCAAAGCTTGATGTCTACTTAACTGACATGATGGCCCTACGATACATGGTTGATGTTAGGAAGATGACTGTGGTTGAACACCTGTAACCTCCTCATTTCCTTCCACAACGGTCACTTTTCACCACCATATAGTGCAGTTCACTGGCCATGAATGACCAGTTGAATATCATGGCCGCACCACAAATGGCTTAAGTCGGCGAAGGATAAGCAAGCCATTTGTATCCAAGCAGAGATTTATCAATCATTGACTCACTAGGGCTAATCCGACTTCACAGGCAAGAAAGTGGTCCAAGTACTCATATATATCACTTCTAGTTATCATATGAAACACCAACACAAACCAGTCCTAAGAAACCCATCCCAAGAATTCCCAAATTGTCACTCAAGGTTTCCAGTAGACTGCGTTTCGTCAGCATCTTCACCTAAAAGGAGTGTATAGTCTGCTTACTAATGAGTATACTGTGATATGGTAAGTGTTTGGAATCAGATGATGATTGAGAAACCCCCATAAGTTCATCTATTATAAGACTAAATAAGAATACACCTGATAACTCTCCACAGACTTTGAAATACCATCAGGTGTCCGAATACAGCACCATCGACAGGGTGATGTACTTATTTGGTGCTCCTTTCAGTGACAAACACTGTCATAAGACCTTTCTGTCAAAAGAGTCAAATGTTATCTTCAGGTCGAGAAATAAAGTTAGTATTGGGCTTCGGTAAGTGCACCTAGTTTCCAGAAACTGTCAAAGGATGAGTATGAATATCTAGTCGATACCAGGTTTGAAGTCTGTCTGATTTCCTTAGGTTGTCTATTACCGAGTTTCACTTAGACATTCGATGATGATGGAACTTTGGTGTTCGTCAGACCAGTTTCTCTATGGATATCATAAAAGGATATCTTCTCTTCCTTGAAGACTGAGATAGTGATTGAAAAGATTCAGATTCTCATATCTTAGCTAACTTTTCAGTTTATATGACCAGTAATACGTAATCACCATCCTTAAATATCTCCGGTGCCTTATTGCCTTGCTCATCTTCCTCGTTCAAAGTTACATGCAGTGTAATCAACTTCTGGAAGAGTGGAAGTGCCTATCTCAAGGCTTCATTCAGGATCTGACTGAAGAGAGAGCAATGTTATGGTGGCTAGAGGCTGTCCGTCGAAGTGTTTCGCCCATCGTTCCAGTCTTCACTGTGAGTGAATCTTGGGTCCATTCTCCTGACTAGCCATTCCCCTTTCTGTATCGGTTTCCTTGATGCTTCTGAATAGGTGTCTATTGTTATCTATCGTCCCTGGCTTCTACATTTCTTCAGCATTCTCTACCAACCACTGCTAGATGTCATCGCGTAGGCGTAGGCTTCCACTTCTCATTGTGCTCGGAAGCTATAGCAATGCTCTCACGTGCATCCATTAATTCAGAAGATGCTCCTGAAATCCACTGGCCCTTTCTAATCACGTTCTGAGGGTCAGTCATAGTATTTAACGCTGTTTTTACATTAGGCTGGGCACCATGTCAGACTTCTTTGGGATGAATGGTTTTGTTCTATTCCGATAACTGTCTAGCCAGTTTCTTGGTGAAAGCCGCTCTAGTATTCTCATCTCCAAATTGAGCTTGCAATGATCTTGTTGCTGCAGTTCTACCGCCATTTAGATGCAGACATATGCGTGCTCGAAGTAACATATTATTACTGTCGCTATACGTGCTCCAATGACAAGCGATAGCAATATGGTCTGTATCCACCGTTGGGTTCAGATTATTGGACACCGCCCCAGACAACATTGCGCTTTATATCTAAACTGGGTGCTAATAAAAAAAACGTCTAAGTACAGTTACAGCACGCGATCGCCATTATCTTTCCATTCGGTTGAAATTTCAAAAGTGCTGCCTAAGTGGTTTTCTAACTTAGCATGTCCACTCGTACATTGAAATCATTTTCTACGACAGCGACATCTGAACGTTTGACTTTCAGGAGCAAAGTGGGCGGTTTTCTGAAGAATTCATCTAACCTGGAGTCATGGGGGCTTAAACAGAGATTAAAAGAGACGACGGCGACTTTCAGCATTCTTCTTAGTCCCCTACGTACCATGAACTTAAGCAGTACAGATTTAATACATTGCAACCAAGTGTATATTACTAGTTGAAAGCATCGAAAGCTAGTTTTATCTTGTGTTATATGCTCAACTGACTTGAGACTGACAATTGTATTTAGAGTCAACAAACTTTTTACTTCGTTGTAAGCATTCATTATGTTGGGCCTTTTGTCACGTTGGCCTTTTTGTCTACCACACATGCAGGATTTTATTATCCCAGCTTGGCAAGTCTAATGGCTAATCGTGTACAAGTAGCGGACCGGAATTTTACATTCGCTGTGATAAGTGCTGGTGCACACTTAGGGTAAGTCTATCTGTTTTCATCAGTCATATATGGGCAATAATCATTTATCCTGTATCAGTCATGATGCTCACAATCAAAAGCTAATCGCCAACAGTTTCCAGACCCCAAGCTTCACACAGGAGACTGTTTCACAAAAAGGCTTTTATTCAGTTAGGAAGAAAATAAAACCCTTCCTATCAGATAAAATAAACATAAAAACTATGACAAACGTTCATCACTTCAATTTGCTACACTTCATAGCAATATGTAAGGAACACATGGATACAAAAAGACCGATATCAAAGTAGACGGTAGGGGACGGGAAGGTGGAGGAAGCAGAATTTGAAAATGAAGCTTAGTGAATGTATTCAAGCTTTGAAAACCGTCAACGAGTGAATATATCTGTGTCAGTGTGATCAATTTTCACCCATCTCACTAATAGTCTTCAAACGTTGATACTTTGGCTACGGAGACCTCGGCGAGGTAGTCTTCATCTGCTTACACGGGTCTGACTGACACTCAGAGACTTGGTTGACTGGTGCCACGTCTTAGTTTGATCATTGTGATCCCTCATGCAATCTAACTCGACTTCTGCTAGCATTGCACGTTGCGGTAGGTAGTGGGTTGGCATGGGCAACACATGTCCAAGCCATTTCTGTCGATGAAGGTTTACAACGTCATCGATTGACTTTCCTTCCTTGCCTAGTGTTTCCCTAACCTCGTTATTGCTCACACAGTGATTCTAGCATACACGAGCAATGCTGGGAAGACAGATGTGATCGGAAACCTGTAACCGCTTCATATCCTCTGCTTTTAACGGTCGCGTTTCATAGCTGTGTATCGCAACAGAAGCGACTGCAGCGCCATATACTCGTCCTTTGACAAATGGTTGGGTATCCCGCCAGTCGGTGTATGAGACGACACAAGTTTTCAACCGTCAAGCGGGGCTTCTGCAGCCGAGCTGAGATTTCATCAGTAGTCAGCGCCTGTTCGTACAGATGCAACTCAAGTAAGTGAAGTGATCGACTCATTCCACTACTGTGATTCTTTCCGCAGACTGTAAGGAGGTGCAGATTGGTCCTGAAGTATCATCTTACATTCGACAGGTTCGAAACACATGCAAGTGAACGTAGAGAAGACAGAGGTGATGATGATACCCGACCACCACCTGTCACCAACAACAACATGCATGAGTCACCATCAACGGGAGAAACTTAAAGGAAGTAGCCTCTTTCACCTATCTAGGCAGCATCGTTTCAACTACAGGCGGCACGGACACAGGACGTAAAAGCCGGGATCGGAAAAGCAAGACAGGCGTTCATTAACCTGAAATCAGTGTGGACACCTACTGCACTGCACTCAGCATGTGGAAGAAGATCCGGCTTTTCAACACCAACGTCAAATGAGTGTTTCTATATGGTTCAGAGACCTGATGCGTTACGAAAGGGATTTCCAACAAACTACAGACATTCATCAACAACTGCCTACACTGGCTCGTTACTGAAGCTCAGCTGGCTAGAATGATAAGAATAAGCAACAAGGAACTCTGCGTGGCGATGAACCAACCAAAAAGCTATTGCTCAACAAATATGCAGAAGGAAGTGAAGATGGTTTGGGCATACACTGAGAAGACCGATTGGGGACATCACGCTTCAGGCCAGGCCCTCGAGTGGGATCCAGACAGGAAACGACGAGTTGGGCGCCCGAGGGGAGGTTGACATGGAGGAGATCATGTGAGGAAGAAATGAGAGCTTCTGGGGAGTCGTGGAGTCAGGTTCAAAAGATTGCAGAGAAGAGAGTGCACTGGAGACGTGCTACTGAAGCCCTATGTTCCACTAGGAACCCAATGGACAAATAATAATACATAATATTCTACTGACTCATACATACCAGTTAGTATTTATGTTACGTTTTATCTAATTTATCTATCACCATGGTGTAATCTTATTGTATTTTGTTACAGAACTCTATTATGCGGATCTTTGGGTTCTTACTTGGTAACCACTGTAGGTTGGAGGACTCCATTCATCTTAATTGGATTATTGTTTTTTTCGTGGTCTTTTATTGTGTATTGTATTGTCCATCGAAATACATGGAAACTACACAGACTGCATTTAATTCTGCCAGAATTTTAGAAAATTTTTATGTGCCCAGTAAAGATACGTTAGCAAGTCGAGGAGATTGTGTGAATTTCTCAGATACCAAAGAAAGGATTATGGTTAGTTTGAAAATGTAGTAATTTTAATTTGATAAATTTTCATCGTCTTAAACGAAAATAACCATACTAAATTCTTCGAAATTTCTACAGAATGCGGTTTGTTTTCGTAAATTTACGTTCCAGCTGAAAATGATACTCACTATCTCTTCGGTAACACAGTGTTGATGTGAATAGAGAACAAAACCAACAAAGCAAGTAAAAAGAGGACATATCAGTCAAGGAAAGTAACAGATGTCGCCTATTCAAATTCTACAGCAGTTCACACACCCATCTCAAGTTCGTAGCACCAAACGGTTGTGAGTCTTCCGACCAAACTTTTCTTCCCAGTTCTTTTCTTTCTTGTTTGGTGTGATAGCCTGAACTGTTACTTAGTGTTGCTAAGTTTCACGTTGACTGACTGATTAAATAACTTCAAAACAAATTGTGGTGCTGAATCCGTTTCCTGAAAACGCCCGCTAATGTTAATATTTTGTTCAATGTCTATGATGTGCATTGTGATAAATCCTCGTTGAACTTTATCCTGAATTCTTACTAACCATTTGGCAGAACCAAATCAACATAGGACCAGGCATTACTGCGTAACGGTCCGAGGTGCCACACTTCATATCAGTACATCAAGTAAAAAGGCAGTGAGGTGCAAGATGAAGATAGGAAAATTCAGTCAAAAGAAATATAAAGTGCGAGAAGAGAGAAAAGAAGAATGAGATGGCGGGATTCAGTACTGCATTGAGTTGAGGACAATGTATGTATACATCTGCACCACTGACATCGGTTCTGAGCCATATCACCTAGAGTCTCCAACCACTGATTTCTCTTATCCCCCGGACCCCAACCACCTAGTCTGCATCGCCGCCCCACATGGCTCAAACTAACAGTCAAAAACTTCATTCATTGATGCCATGTCTTAGTCTGGCCACCTCGGGCCTTTTTCCAGCATGGACCTACTTTCGCCAACATTGTGTGACGAGGCGATCGGCGACTAGTAATACGTAATACGTGTCCTAACCATCTCAATCGATGAGGGTTCATAACCTCGTCAACTGAAATACCTCTACTGCTTAAAACTCTACACCTGACTTCCACATTACTCACGTTGTGACACCATGAAATACGGCCTATACTAGGAAGGCGACGGTGGTCAAACACCTGAAGCCAGCCTTCTCATGTCTTCCACCTTCAATGTCCATGTTTCAGAGCCATGCAGTAGAACAGACCTGACTGCTGTGCAGTGCACGCGACCCTTAATAGATAATCGGATATTACGGTGGTGCCATAGGTCGTGTAAGTTGGCAAAAGCCAGCCGAGCGTTTTGTGTCTGTGCAGAGATTTCATTGGTCACTGAGCCATCAGGGCTGATCCAACTTCACAAGTAAGTGAAGTGGTCAAGACACTCAACTCTGGCTCAGCGCATCGAGACTGTAGTTGAATAATGTGTCTATTCGCTTAGATAAGCACATGGACTGATGTACACTCTTTGGCGAGGCAAAGAGTGACACGTTGTTCCGAGTTAGTCGTATTCAAGCCTATTTGTATGAGAAGTAATTTTTTAGTCTTATTCAGATTATGTCTGATCAGATGACAAAGCATGAAGTCTTTCGGCATAATTTCGATATAAAATCGTCTATGTGATTTGTATGCGGATTTTTGTCAACTTTGAATGCTTCATTTTGCGAAGCATATTTCCATAAACTTATTTGACTACAGCGCTTGGTATCCTTTTGCTTCACTGGAACACTTTTACAATAAGAATAGTGTTTCCCCACTATTTTTCTCTCTCCTTCCCTATCAGTATTAAGATTTATTAAATCTAATAGTTTACTTCACAGAATTTCGTCACACAATGATGTATCTCTTTCGTACTTTAGTGTTACCTGTTAAACTTCCTGAAGATTTTTCAGATAGACAAACAAATCAACTGGAACATAGCACAAAAGTCCATCACTTCAATTTGCTACACTTCATAGCAATATGTAAGGAACACATGGATACAAAAAGACCGATATCAAAGTAGACGGTAGGGGACGGGAAGGTGGAGGAAGCAGAATTTGAAAATGAAGCTTAGTGAATGTATTCAAGCTTTGAAAACCGTCAACGAGTGAATATATCTGTGTCAGTGTGATCAATTTTCACCCATCTCACTAATAGTCTTCAAACGTTGATACTTTTGGCTACGGAGACCTCGGCGAGGTAGTCTTCATCTGCTTACACGGGTCTGACTGACACTCAGAGACTTGGTTGACTGGTGCCACGTCTTAGTTTGATCATTGTGATCCCTCATGCAATCTAACTCGACTTCTGCTAGCATTGCACGTTGCGGTAGGTAGTGGGTTGGCATGGGCAACACATGTCCAAGCCATTTCTGTCGATGAAGGTTTACAACGTCATCGATTGACTTTCCTTCCTTGCCTAGTGTTTCCCCTAACCTCGTTATTGCTCACACAGTGATTCTAGCATACACGAGCAATGCTGGAAGACAGATGTGATCGGAAACCTGTAACCGCTTCATATCCTCTGCTTTTAATGACTCGAGTTAAGATGACTCAGATTCGAATAAGCTTGTTACGCTTTCGGATAGCAAATATGTACCGCTATCACTTAACTTCTGGTATTTTGATGTCTGCGGACTTGGTATGCGATTGTTAATTGCGCTATGTTTTTTGGAGCATTATGCTATAGCTGCATCACTGACTTCACAAGAATTGGCCATTCATTATGCGGACTCTCTTAAAATGAATTTTGAAGTGTATTGCATTTACCAGGAAGAGTCAAGTGGGTGACCACACTCTAGTCCTGTATGTGTGTTTGAAAAGCAACATACATGGATGACTGGAGATTCGATGATTCTTTTTTGCGATGCGTGCTGCACGATTTGGCTTGGACTTTGGAATCTCTAATGTAAAACCAACAGTAGCTTTTTAAGTATCTGAAAAAGAGGTTTTGATGGCTTTGATTATTGGCATTGGCCGTAGTTTGGATGGTCGAGGAAGTAAAAGGCTAATTGTTGCTTTTGGATAGTAGGTGGAGATAGGTGAAGAAGGTAAGTTATGTTTGATTTTATTTTGTATGCTAGCTGAAGCGTGCGGGTGGTTGACAACTTCTGACTGTCCATAACATGGTAGTTTTCTCTACATTATACCTGGACGAGAAGAAGTTTTGTGTGACCATAGAGCCCATGGAACATCTGTTTAAAACTTGTCACATACAGCTTTTTGAGGCTTGTTGATTTGAGATTCAGTTGTTCTTCCGGGAGGATATGAAAAACTTGTTCTACTGGTATTAAAAGACTTTGGGAGATGGGAGAAATTTACTTTTTTTAGGGGCTAACGTTTTCTAACCCCCGCTTCTCATTAGGAAGACGAAGAAGATAGTACGGCCAGTCACCTGCAGCAATCACCTTACTGCTGTCACACCCCATCCAGCCAGGAGTACAATGCCCTCGAGCCCTCTTCATAGCGTAGCAATTTACATCGTAACAATAATTACTTTTGTCTTACCACTATGCAACAAACCTCACTGGCATCTCAGGACCTCGAGGGAACGAGGGTTTCAGTGAGGGTAGCTGACTGATGATATTCAACCACGACCATCACGTTGAGGTATCAGCTATCGGTAAAGAAGATTGACTTTTCCCAGAGCAATTAACGTTAGTGCATTTGCAGAGTATAACGCGAGTTGTGATTTGTATACATTATTGACGAGCAGTATCAATTTCGTTAATTCTCTTTTGGTTTGTTTGTATTTGACTGCGAATTAAATTATTCCAAAGTTATAATTGGGAATTTTCACCTCTAGACAATTACTTTCTGCAAACAGTTAAGAGATGAAATCATTTTGTTTGAGAAAGCAAATAACGAGTTACGATGTAGATTTATGTCACTTTTTATTCATGCTTCATCGAATACAATAGTTGAAATTAAACATTAGCACACAGCAAAGTCTAAGATAAAAAAGATAGGGATTTGTTTAAATAGTGTTTTTTTTTTGCAGTAAGAGTGCATAGAGCTTTGCAATCGGTACACTGAGTTAACAGCTAATTTATTATTGATCTGTTGTTTTGCGTGCAAACGCGGTGAATAATCAGTGCATCTTTGCTGTCTGTATTACAGATTTTAATTTGGTTAGCTACCATATATGAAGGAGCTAGAAGCAGTTTATCTTTTTGCTACTGGCTGTTCCGCTTTCGTTAGCACTTCAGATTAACATTCCTTTGTTAATTTGTTTGAGCTTAAGAAACGATTACGCACTAAATCGCACAAATCTTCAGTATTCGTTGATTAGAGTAAATTCCCCCCCTCTATTGTAGACAGTCTGGAGGCAGAGTTTTTATTCTCGTCCATGTCTATTAATTCTCTGTTTGCTAAATGCAAACTGTACAATATAGATGCCAAGAAATGCCCAAGAGTAAAAAAGCAATGAAGACAACAAGAACAAAGAAGAGCTACGGAATAAGATTTTTCCATTCTTAAAGTATCTTTCACTGGTTTACATTGAAAGATGTTGCACCCGAAAAAGTTATTTTTTAATTCCTTATCCATATCTGAAAATGTTGCAAAATCCTGGCATCTATGATTGTTTATAGTTCACTGGAGGATTTATGATGCTGCAACATACCTTCTGCCCATACCATCATGTCATAAACTGACCTCTGCTATATTTCTCATAACTTCCTCCATAGTCAACTAGTACTAAACTTTGAAACCACTAGAACTAAATATGTTAGAAGTGCTAAATGCAAAGAAGCTAATGCTTTAAAATATTTTCATGTAGTGATGATTTATACCATGTAGAACACTTCAGTAATACCTGCATTTTGTTACGTTGGAAGCAAAGGTGGTTGGGTCACTGAACATCCTCAGCTTGAAGAGAGCAGGTCTAACCGGTGTAGTGCAGAATCTCTCCGCCTAAGCGTTATACACTCAACCTTTGGCAATCACATTTGAATTTAGACGATGCAGAGGGTAACTGAGAATTGAACAATCTTGTTACGATTTCGGAGAACAAATTTGCTCCACTATCATTTAACTTCTTCAGGGCGGTACCAAGAATGCAATTGGTAGTAAATTTTAAGGGAGAAATACAAAGGCGTTTTTATCATGCATGACTTTTGAAACGATAGACAGTAGTTGTTGTTTTCAAACTACTGATAAACTTGATGTGGATTGTCCTTTAGCAGACAGATTTATCAAAGGAAAAATGTAGATCACAACTACTCCAAGGTTCATCCATTAGGCTGTGAACCATACCTATTATGTCCGGGCCAATGATGCTACTTGTTTTCCTAAACTTGAGTTGATAGAGTGGGAATTGAACCAGTTACGCTCTGCTTGAAATTGGGTTACCTTCATCAACGAGACAGCTTGCCATTGTTTGTAGTTTTGGCTTACCTGTATAGTTCAACGTCACCTCCGTTTCCTTTATCAAAGGGAAATCCTTGGTGTTTTGAAACTGTACAGAGAACCGAAAGTTCAAACAAAGGCGGGAAACAGCGAAATAACTACATCGACAAACGTGATCGAAATATTATAAGAATAGTATCCCAACACAACAACAGCAAGCGACTAAGCAGCTTGTGAAATAAAGACAAACAGAAAAATCAAGGTAGGACCTGCTTGGTCGCTACTTTCTCCACAGTTGGACACTTCCACAACACTTCGTGGTAGACAAAACTGCAAGCCCCCTTCAGGTCAAGAAATATGGCATTTTTCCACCCTGATAGGTGTGCTCGTTTATATACAACTAGGACCAACTGTGCTATAATGAATCATTTCTATCAATTGTAACAGTTTGTAAACTCATCCTCGTCTTTATCTTGAGGTTACATTTGAAACAGAATCCCCTGAATATGCAGGTGTTCGCAATCTCTTGGCTATGTTGTGTTCTCTGAGCTGAGTTGTTTAATCGTTTGAGCTTTCATTGTCTTTCAGATGACATCAGCATTAACTTCAATATGAGGTTAGCTATCATTATCTCTCCGTAAGTGGTTCAGTAGCTTGCCCTGCCGAACTGACTTGTGATTGGTTGTTTCCTTTGATTGTTGTCATTGTTTGCATAGATTTTCTTGTTGGGTGTTCCTCTACTTGACCTCTGCCCTTCCCGTTTATCATTTTTCTTATTGATTCATAGATTCGGTCTATGTCTATGCATCTATTGATTGCTGACCGACCTGAATGCCAAGCTCCTAAGAATTTTCTGACATTCTTTGTGTTTCTTCTATCCAAGATTTCTATATTGTCAAAACTGAATTCATGTCAATAGTAATCCACGTGCATTGGAATGAGCGATGAAAATATTGTGACGTTTAATCGGCAATTAGTATTCATGTAAACGAAGGCGAAGAGGGCGACCACTTTGTTCAGTGTAGTGTTGATTAAAATTACTGTAGTTGATTTTGTAAATGATATTTGATTTGTCTTCGGCTGTTGCGTTTTTTGGTCTGCAATTCCAAGTGGTCTCAGTAATCTTGTCGTAATTTCTGATATATCCTTTGTGTGCGGTAGGATATCTATTTGTTGATTTCTGTCGATGTCTTTGTATTTCATGATACATGGGATAGGCATCTTCTGCTAGTTTTTTCCTTGGGTAGCCGTTTTAGGACAGACGTCAAGTAATTTTCTTCCTTTCTTCGTGGAGTTGTACTGCAGTGTGTTCTCGCTGTTTTAAATAGAGTTTGCACACAACTAATTTATTGCAGTTCCTGCTTCCAGTTTTCCGGCATTTGTTCTGCTGACTGTCGCATCCAAGATAGCGGTTAGTTGTTCGACTCCATTGTGAATTTGAAATCACTGGAAACGTTGTTGATCAAACTGTAAGTGTTTTCTAGATCATTTTTAGTGATGACAAAAGTATCATCCACATAGCGAATCCAAACTTTTGGTTTGATCACAGGTAAAATGATGGCTTTCAGTCTCCACATCACCGCTTCTGCAATTAGTCTGGATATCAGTTATCCCATAGAGGTGCCTTCCATCTGTTTGTATACCTTGCTATTAAACTGGAAGTATGTTGTCATACAAAGGTCGATGAGTTCTATTAGACTTAAACATTTAGGTTTTGTGGGTTTTGAAAGGCTTGTGTTTTCAGTGAGCAGGAAGGACATAGTTTCCTTGGCCAATTGTGGTTCGATGGGTGTATGGGTGCTATAACATCGGAGGATACCATTAATTCGTCTCTCTATATATATTAATTAATGCCTTGGATCCTAAGAATTCTGTTGGTGATTTGATGAAATATCCGCATTGAAGAGTTTATTCAAGGTTTTGTGGACCTGGTTGTCGAACTTTTGGATAGTGTTGGTTTCAAGTGGTTGATACACATTTTCGTCTTTTAGTAAATCCTCTGCTTTCGAGAAAATTGAAATACGTTGTTCAATTATGCGGATATTCCATCAAATCACCAACAGAATTCTTAGGATCCAAGGCATTAATTAATATATATAGAGAGACGAATTAATGGTATCCTCCGATGTTATAGCACCCATACACCCATCGAACCACAATTGGCCAAGGAAACTATGTCCTTCCTGCTCACTGAAAACACAAGCCTTTCAAAACCCACAAAACCTAAATGTTTAAGTCTAATAGAACTCATCGACCTTTGTATGACAACATACTTCCAGTTTAATAGCAAGGTATACAAACAGATGGAAGGCACCTCTATGGGATAACTGATATCCAGACTAATTGCAGAAGCGGTGATGTGGAGACTGAAAGCCATCATTTTACCTGTGATCAAACCAAAAGTTTGGATTCGCTATGTGGATGATACTTTTGTCATCACTAAAAGTAATTTAGAAAGTGCTTGCAGCTACTTTCTACGCTGTACGGTATTCCTTCACTCCAGTTTTGAACTCATTTTCTGTAGCTTGTTGACTTTGACCCATGGTGAGAAATTAATATGACGTACTCAGTCTTTTGTGTTATGCAGTTGCAAGTACACAGTCGCATCAGATAGTTTCTATAAAGAGGGATTTTCTTTTCTGAAACCGTCGTTTTGCTCTTTCTGTGACAATACGGATATTTCACTTATACTCAGTTTCAGTAAGCCATTTGTCTGGTAAAGACTTTAAGCAGTATTAACTAGAAATTGTTAAGTCATTATATAAATTAGATCCGTTTACTAATTTTACAACAATCATGTTATTGTTTTTCTTTTTTAGCCATCAGAGTCGAAGTTTGTATACATACATTCGGAAGTTCTACAGAAAGATTCTACATCCAAGTTGCCTGTTCCGCCTTTGAATTGGTCTCTTCTTCTAAAAATAAAGCCTTTTGGTAAGTCATATTTTTCAATCAGTTGTTATCATCATGATGTTTAATTGTTACTTCAAAGGCCCTTTATCCGAACTCCGTGCAGTAGAGCTCGCAGCTATAACACTGTGATAAGTGCCAACAGACAGAAACCTGGATGCAATACCGACTACCGATCACCACGTAACATAAATCAGTGTACCATGACGTTGATCCTCTTAGATCGGTAAACTCATTTGAAAATGATATTTAGAATTCTGTCAGCAACTAACACTAGAGGATATGAATTGGTTTCTCTACAGTGACCAATCTGTGTAATTTACCGTTCAGCAGTGCTTACTGCTTACACCTTTCAAGAGCCATCTTGAGAATGTTTGTATGGATTTCATGCTTGTTACGATTTGTGAACAAGCTGATTCGTTTCTGTATTTGCTAATACGTGATTTACAACTGTGATTATCCACTGACTGGATTTTGCTGCTCACTAAATAAATAAAGCTTACGATATCACGTAAGTTAGTAAGCTTCGTCCTACCTATCAAATGGCATAATATCTTACGTCCAAGCTAAATATTAAGCGAAACTCATTGGACCCTCAAAGAAGGAGGTTTGGTCGGCTTTCTTACTACAGGCAAAAAATAAACCGAAAATTGATTTTCTTATCAACTTAGTGCGGTTGTATCGCATTGTACATTAGATACGCTTTTTACAAAATCCAAAATATGCCACTGGCATAATAGTGAGAACCTGCAAAGCAAATTCTTTAAGAGCTTTTTCTAGATTGTATCCTGAATAACCTGCTTCATATGTAGTTCTTTTGGAGGCTAAAGTTTGTATTCAGTCATTTCACTAAACTTGTGTGTAATACTAATAAGTTGTTACGAAGATCTGTCGTACACTAGTTAGCGATTAGTCAAAAGGGTCAGCTACTTGACTATTTCTTGAGACTAATCGATTAAGAGATTTTGCAAACAACCCAACAAACAGTGATCCGATCTTTGCCTATTTCTAGTGAGCTTCTGTTCTTCGAATGGCATAAGGGCATATAGGGTTATAGCCATATTCACTCCATTCATGCAAAACAGTGTAATCCATCACAATCTGTTTTTCAAGTTACGTAAGTCGTTTTGAACTTTCCCTCCCCCCCCCCCCCACAGTTTTGGCTAGGTCGTTTAATGATTGCATGGTGAAACTTATTTTCGAAAAAAGCAGCTGACAACGCTACTGTCTGTTTAAAGGTGTGTTCACATTAAAAACTTCAAAATCCACGATAATATAATTGCGTATTGGATTGTTTATTCGATGTAGCACACAATGATACAGTATAATTTACCGGATGACGTTTCGAGCAGAATTTATTGCTTATATTCATATCAAAGTAATCATACAACTTTCGGGCTTCCATTATGTGGTCCATCAGTTCACTCATTTATTTTAGTAAAAAATTTCCATAGATCTGCAATACGTGATGAGTCATTCCTATTACATGTGTTAGGTGTTGATTCAATGAATAAAAATTCTATGATCAACCTCTCCCTCCACTTAGCTACATCAGATTTTAGAATTGTCACCCTATTCCTCGCCTTGTAGTGCGATTTATGGGTCAGTACATGCAGAGGGATAGTCAAGTTTTTCTCTAAATTACGTATTTTAGTAGGGTCTACCAATGTAATTTATTCGATCCATTATACATGGTTTTGTTCTGTGTCGAATTTCGTTTGTTTCAGATGTTATTATTATTATATTATTTTCCGGTGTATGCTTAACTTTTGAGGATGTTGCCTTCCCTAGGGACAGTGAACTTGAATGCGCTCGTTCATTTGTTTGGGATGAAGGCTAAATTGTTGCCTTATTGTGATCTATGTTTATAAAATTTAAACATAGATTCCATTGAAATACTATCATTCTGTTTCGGTGGGCTACATTTGAAGAATTACCAGTTAGTTACATAATGCTAAGAAATAGGTTGGATTTGGTCGAATTTTCCCAATCGGATGTTTTTAAGCAGATTAATGATTGCAATAACACAGACACCACCGATGGAAAATGAACTATAGAACCAACAAATTAATATGAGTCTTAAATAATTGCCTTAGTGGATTACTTGATACGTTGATACGGGGTAATGATTAAAGGTGAGATGTAAACCTGGATTACTGCAGCATTCGAACAAGTGGCCTCCGGACTACCGGTATGACACTCTATTAACTTGATTATGAGGCTTGACTGGTATCCAGGTTGGAAAAAGCTCCCGATAAAGCAGTTTTTTTAAGGCTGTGTATACATAAGTCCATTTTGAAATAATGGAGAATATTTGTAGATCAGGTGGATGGTCTTGGTTGTATTGTGTCCTCTGAGCTGGGTTGTTTAATCGTGAAGCTTTCATCGCCTTGCTAGACGACATCAGCACTAACTTCAGTATGAAGTAAGTTGTCAATATCTCTCCGTGAGTGATTTAGTAGCTTGCTTTGACGATGTGGTCTGTGGTTGATTGTTTCCTTCGATTGTTGTATCATTGACTGTATAGACTTTCCTGTTGGCTGTTCCTCTGCTTCACCTCTGACCTTTCTGTCGTTTATCATTTTTCTTATTGTTGTAAGTGTAAATCTTGGGCACTGTGGTCGAGTGTAATTCCATTTTAGTCTGTTTATTAGAAATACCACACAGTGAAACAGTAGCATTTACTGGATAACGTTTCGGACACAATTTATTGTCCATATTCATATCAGGTAACTCCACAACTTCGAGACAGTCTTTATATATTCCCAGTTTTCTCTCCTTCACTGTGATGACAAGGGTAGTAGAATTTTCCATATATCTGGGACAGCTGCAGCATCATTTCTATTGCATGTGTTTGGTGTTGATTCGATAAACAAAGATTCGGTTATCAATCTCTCCCTCCACCCAACTAAGTTAGTTCTCAACACTGTCACCCTATCCCACCCTACTGTGTGATTGTGTGTCATCGCATGCAGAGCTACAGCCGAGTTTTTCTCCAGATTTCTTATCTTAATAGGATCCACTGCTTTTGATTTAGCTAAGTTTTTGTGCTCTGTTATTCTAATCGACCCTGGTCGACTGCTGACCTCGCAATCATTGCAAAGAAACTGGTAGACCAGATTATTTTGCTCAATTGCATCGATAGGATCTTTTAACCTACAAAGCTTGTTTCTAAGTGAGTTTGTTGGTTTGAATGCCACTTTAATCCCAACCAGCCTTATTGACAATTCTTCGTAGTGCTTCTGAGGTGCCTTCCTTGTATGGTAACACAGCAGAGGCTTTGAATTCTCTCTTAACCCTGTCGCCATTATTACCACTAGTAGTGGGATTATTATTAATAACATCTGTATTACTACTACTACTACTACCACTGCTAATATTTCTCTTTCGATTTCTTATGAATTTATTTATAAATTTTGGTGGGTAAATGCTACAGTTTCACTGTGTGATATTTCTAATAAACAGACTAAATGGAATTTTTCTTATTGGTTGATAGATCGGGTCTATGTCTGTGCATCTATTGATTGCTGACTGACCTGAATGCCAAGCTTCTAGAAATTCTCTGACATTCTTTGTGCTTCCTCTGTCCAAAATCTCTACATTGTCGAAATTGAATTCGTATCCATAATTATGTACGTGCATTGAAATGAGTGACGAAATGTCGTGGCGTTAATAGCCAAGTGGTGCTCATGTAGACGAAGGCGAAGAGGACGGCCGCTTTGTCCAATGTAATGCTGACTACAGTTATTCCAGTTGATTTTGTAAATGATATTCGGTTTGTCTTTGCTTGTTGCATCCTTTGGTCTGCATAATTGTGTTTGGAGGGAATCTGTTGGTTTATGAGCCCCAGCAATTCCAAGTGGTCTCAGCAATCTTGTCGTGACTTCTGATACATTCTTTATGTATTGTAGGATGATGCGTTTGTTGATTTCTGTCGATGACTTTATAGTTGGTGATGCACGGGATAGGCATCTTCTGATAAAGTTTCGTGGGTAGCCGTTCTTCTTTAGGGTGAACATCAAGTAATTTCCTTCGTTTCTCCGTGAAGTTGTTGTGCTGCAGTGTGTTCTCGCTCTTTTTTGAGTAGAGTCTCAACACAAGTCACTTTGTGTGTTGTTGAGTTGTTGCTATTGTAGTTGAGGATTTGGCCAGTGTGTTGGCTTCCTGTACACTTGGGTTTCCAGCTTTCCGGCATTTGTCCTAATGACTTAAACATCCAGGAATGGTAGTTGGTTGTTTGATTCTTTCTCCATTGTGAATTTGATGTCATTGAAAACGTTGTTGATCAAACTGTGGGTGTTTTCTATGTCGTCCTTTTTAATGATGACAAAAGTGTCGTCCACATAACGAATCCAAATTTTCGGTTTGATCACAGGTAGAATAATGGCTTCCAGTCTCTGCATCACTGCTTCTGCTATTAATTTTGGATATCGGTGAACCCATTGGAGTTCCTTTCATCTATTTGTATATCTTGCCGTTGAATTGGAAATATGTTGTCATACAAAGGTCGATGACTTCCATCAGACTTGAACATTTAAGTTTTGTGCGTTCTGAAAGGTCTTTGTCTTCAATGAGCAGGAGGGATATCGTTTCCTTGGCCAATTGGGGTTCGATGGATGCGTGTAGTACTGTAACATCGAAGGATATCATTAACTCATCGTTTTCTATGGTAATATTTCTGGTCTTTTCTAAGAATTCTGTTGGTGACTTGATAGAATGTCCACATGATTAGACGAGGTGTTTCCGTTTTCTCGAAAGTTCTCTTGATATGTTATATGCTGGAGACTATTGGTCATAGAGGGATATCAGGTTTGTGTAGTTTTGGTCTGCTGTAGAACCGAGGAAGGATAAGTCAATTCGATTCCATACGCCATTTGTCTTGATTTGTAATTTCTTCTGCTTTGAAGAGTTCGTTCAAGGTTTTATTGATCTGGTTGTCGAACTCCTGGATGATTTTGTTTTCAAGTGGTTGATATACATTTTCGTCTTTCAGTAATTCCTCTCCCTTGTTGATAGTCTTCTTTGTCCATGACTGCCGTAGTGCGTCCTTTCTCTGCTGGAAGTATAATGATGTCTTTCCTATTTTCCAGTCTTTTTAATATTTTCTGTTCTTGAGTGTTCATTTGAGCATGATGTCTCTTCTGCCTGGTTAGTGGTAAGATTGTTTCCCGTATTTCTTTCTGAGTGACCTCATTTAATCCTGATGTTTTAAGTGACGACTCTAATGACGCAAAGAATTCTGGTTTCGTGGCATCTCTTGTGATGTAATTCAATCCTTTCCGAAGAAGAAGTTTTTCCATTTTTGTAAGCGGTAGTTTTGATAAGTTGGCAACGCAGCCGTTTGTTTCTTCAGTTGTGGGTGCTTCTGAGATTTTGAGTAGCTTTTTCCTGAGGACTTTTCTTCGTTGTTCTTTGTATCGTCCGCTTGATTTTTCAGTTGCAGTCGTCAATGTTTTCAGGTGTTGCGTCGTGAGTATGCTTTCTAGTTTTCTGTTTTGATTGTTAGTCACTGATTGGTATTTCCGGATCCGTTGATGTGCATCCGTGATCATCAATTGTACTATTTGTCTTCCACTTTGTTCAGCTATTTTCCATCCCATTGGGCAGGTAATCGGTGGTCTATGTCTGACACTCTTCGGCAGAACATGCCTACGTAGTCACTCATGGAGAAAGAATAGTTGTCCTTTTGTGGAAGCCTGCCTTTTGGAGAAGCCTTCCCATCTTCGAACAACGTGAAGCGTGTCACGCTCGTATGATTTTGAAATACCGGAAAATATTTGTAGCTCAGGTGGATGGTCTTGGTTGTATTGTGTTTTCTGAACTGGGTTGTTTAATAGTGAAGCTTTCATCGCCTTGCTAGACGACTAGACAGGCATATACAGAATACAACGAACTGGCAAAGGTGATCATTTAATGTAGCTTCTGACAATCACTTGTTCCTACCCAGCCCAATAAGCACAATATCAGAGAATTGCTGGAAGCTTGGCATTCAGGTCAGTCTGCAATCAGTAGATGTATAGACATAAACCCAATCTATCTACCAATAAGAAAAATGATAAACGACAGAAAGGTCAGAGGTGAAGCAGAGGAACAGCCAACAGGAAAGTCTATACAGTCAATGATACAACAATCGAAGAAAACAATCAACCACAGACCACATCGTCAGAGCAAGCTACTAAATCACTCACGGAGAGATATTGACAACTTACTTCATACTGAAGTTAGTGCTGATGTCGTCTAGCAAGGCGATGAAAGCTTCATGATTAAACAACCCAGCTCAGAGATCACAATACAACCAAGACGTAAGTGCATCTTCCCCTTGTTTTGTGTACTGTGTTGTCGTACTTTTGGAAGCTGCAGTCATTGCATTTAAAATTGCGCTTATTTAAAAAAAACTAAACCGTTTGTTTTAGTATTTTCTTTAATTCTTTATGGTGGTGTAATTTAAGTGTGTAAACTCATGTACTGTTGGTTATCAGATCATCCATATTGGCACACAACTAATTGATCAGTTTGTTAGGACACTTTCACACAGTCTAAGCAGTGCATATTGATCTTCTTTACGACAGTGTAGCTGGCGATCGTTTAAACTGTGAAGAAAAACTGAAAAAATTTCACCCTTAAGTTCCTTTGAATGTAATCAATGCTTGACTTAAAGTACGCCAGAATTAAATCAGACATTAATTGTATTATCTATATGCAGTAGGCAAACTTATAAACCGGGAGTTGGTTTCATGAAGTGATTGATTTTCTCTGTGGTTAACATAATATGTGTAAACAAGATTTAAATAAATATGAACTTCGATTTGTGGATAAGACTCTCCTTGACTTGTATTCCTTTCATTAGGTAGCGTTTCGAGTATGAAATGGGCGTATATCACGATTTATTTTGGTTTGTTAACTAACAGTAATTTGATAATTATTTAATAATAATATCTTATAGCACATCTGTGGATTGTGGTCTCTGAAGTTAGAAGATACTGAGATATTTCATTTTTTGAGCACATGTGTATTCATAGCTTTACTGAAATGTGATGGAATCACTTTGTAAACAACGGCGAAACTAGCTGTCGGGTATTAAGTACGGATCGCAAGGTTGTGAGCTTCCAGGTGGCGTGGGCATATATTGCGCGAAACAAACTATCCCCTACTTGATGCATTATTTCAGCTAAAGCAGGATTGTGCTGCGAGAAGATCAACAACTATCGTGCTGAGACTTGATACTAGTCCATGAAGTCGTCGGCTGTTTGTTTGAGCCTACGGAAGACGTATTGATTGCCTGTCTGGGGTCATCCAGACTACAGGGTCAGTGGTATGAATTGAAGGCGATGACATCGATGCAGGTTTCATCTTCAAAATGTTGGACATTTATTTAAACGTTCATCTCTTTATTCAATCCCCTGAAATATATTTGCACACTAATAAAATATTCTCATGTTGCGGTAAAGTGTGATAAAATGAACTCTGATTGACGTTTTATGTTGATTTTCCTCGCTGTCATTTGTATTTCTATGGCCGATGATCACCTACTACTGAGTGCGAATCGAGTATCATGTTTGTTATTTTTCACAACAGGACACTGTTGTTCACGTACTCATAGTCGAGTAATATTTGTCTCTTCATGAAATTTACAATCCATCACTATAACCCGTCCCATTGAGGTATATTTGATGACTTTTATTAATCGGAAAGTTATAAGGGAATAGGAAAGCGAGGCAACGATGTCTCGTCTATCGTCGAAATGGTGGCGAGCTGTGTTGAACTGTTGAAGTTCCTTTTAGGTTGTTATTAAAGTCGTCGGTTGTATACCTTTTCGAGATTCAGCTGTAGAACACGGTTGTGTCGAGTGAATAGACGAGAAGTTTGTGGTTAGGAGTTGTAGTTGTTTGCCTCCAAAATATCTGATCATGTTGAAGCACTTTGTGGATGGTGATCACGTCTGTGGTTAGTACATTCATGTAGGGTAGGCAGGTACACAGGTACGTGGTGTACTTCTCTGGAGTCATTTTTTCACACTTTTCGTATAACTTTGTAAGGATGATGATCGGATTCAGTATTTTGTATGAAAGTGATGATGAGTTAATATTCATATAATTTGTGTGTTCATTACTTAGAACATTCTTGAGTCTTTTTGCATAATAACTTCAACAGAAAATAGTTAAGTATTTGGTTCCCTATCCTTTTATGACCAGTTTAATCTCTTGAAAACAAACGCGTCCCTAGTTTTGTGTAGTATCTCTTTGCTTGAAGTTGTTTTTTGACGTCAACATCCTTATGTTTAAACGTTTAATCTGGCTATTAGCTTAAGGGTACGATATTTACATTACTGGAAATGTTTTGTCATGTCGTATAATTTTTGAACAGTGGATACTACGAAGATAGTGCTGATGATGTCTAGAAAGACAATGAAAGCTTCAGGAATAAACCACCCAGCTCAAAGAACACAATCAAGATACATGGTGGTCCGAACTGTATTTGAAAAGGGAACAATGCGGTTAATCCGGTTTTTGAATTTTACTGATAGTTTACTACTTCCTACCAGGTTTTTCGCTACAGGTAACCATTAGGTCATGTGGTCATCACATAGTTACCATGTAATATTTTCAACGTATAGCACTTACACCAGTGATCATAACTGTTTTCCACTGAACTGAAACTGGGACTTACCAGGGATTTGCACGAAACCCTTAGAAACCTGCTTTTGTATTTCAAAGTACCTTGGAGATGCAAACAGCTTTACTCACTGTCCTATATACATATTTCTATGTTTTCATTGTTATTCAGACTATCTGAAACCTCTCAGATTAAGCTTCTGATCGTAATTCGCAATTTGCCAGTTTTCCTCCCTCTCTAACTCAGGTCAATTTGAATTGGGACGACATCTCTTGGTTGGACTTTTAGTGTCAGACGGAACGAACATTCTACACAACACTAAGTGGTTAATTTGACATAAAGACTTTGTTATTATTTTGGTCTTTTAGTTTATATGGTGGCCTTTCGGACCAGTTATCTGGAGGCTGCTAATTCCAGTCCTACCGTGACCCAGGTTTTATGTCAACTTTAATGTTCATTCATGGGTGTATATGTGGTTCTAAATGAACTGTGTTTGTTGCGGTCCTGCATAAGTCATTGTTATCTCTTTTCTCAGCAAGTAGTTGTTATGCCAATCGTGAGGTCGGAGTGTCGTTTTTCTAGAGAAAAGATTTATACACACATATTCACAGCACCTGTATTTTTCAATTATCAAAGGAACGTATTCATTATTAAAATAAACTCTTTATAATTTAATTACATGAATGCAATTTATTATTGAGCTAACTAACTAAATGTCTTGTTAATAGTTATAAGTAACCGCATACAATTGTGACTTGAAATTAGTTTTTTGCTTAATTATATCTCAACTATAATAAAAGTACGGTTGATTGTTTTACTGTCTCTTTTATAGGGTTATGCTTCTGGCTAATTTTGTACACAATAATACTTTTTACATCATTCTCAATTGGTGTCCTTCATATTTTCACGATAACTATCCAGATGCTCGGGTAAGGAATTACTGTTTTCGTTCGAAGTCAAGTTTTCAAATTACGTTTATTTATTTATTTTATGATTTTAGATTCTAACTATTATGAATTGGATTCTGTGCAGTTTCACAGAGTTTAAGTGCCGCAAATGTAATAGTAACTAATGTTTTTTATTCGTAATATCCACACATAAACTAATCTGTATATTATTTTATGTACATATAGGTGGAATTACCTATCGAATTGATTGTTTAGTGTAGTTGAATCAGAAACTTAATCTGCTAGATTCTATGTCTGTATACCCTACGTATATGATAATTTTGGCACTATCAAATTGAGCTCATATTATGACATGAGATGATAATATTTGTCAGCACACGGTTTCAACAACATGTGTTGTAGTAATATCATACAACCTAGGGTAGTCGCTCATTGTTTTACCTTTCGTTTAACTGGATTGGTTACAGGTCTAAATCCTTCTCCATCTTCTTAGGTTTAAACAATTAGATGGTATTGTTGCTTACTGTATGCTTCACTTATTTCAGATCAGATTCTAATGCACCGGTTATTTCCTGTTTACTTAGTCCTTATACTATTGAAATATCAGGGTTTGTAGTGGCTTGATATGGTAAAATTGTGAACCTCTGTTACACTAATTGGTTGTTTTAGAGCTGCGAATAAGCGTTTTCATACGAAAACAAAATACATTTACACTCTCAGAATTCCTTGGACATCTTTTTGCACAACGGTATATTCTGAATCCATTTATATTTTCATGACGTTTTCCTTTTTCCCATTATTATTCACAGTAGGTAATAGATAAAGCAGCTAAGATCATTCACTTCCACCTTTGTTGATGAATTTGCAAGTTTTTGGAAGACTGTTCATTTCTTTATTCTTTTTCGTCTTCATTGTATATTCAGTCGTTGTTATGGTAAAGATTCACAGCACACTCCAAATTCAGGTGACACTATAGAGCTAGCGGTTGTAGTATCCAGAAAATATCAAGTGCATGAGTGAATTATTTATGCATCTATCACTTGCATTCACTTCTTGACATCTTCTAAAGCTTGAATATTTGCACTAACCGTTATCTTCAGATTGTTTATTCTCTCATCCACCTTTGTATATTACTCTGAAGTGCAGTAACTTGAGCCGATTCGCCTGTGTGCGAGATTCTGTGTTAATGTTGTCAGTCAGTCAAATTATGAAATTCTGTAATCACTGACGGCACAGCATATAAAATCCATTCTTAGACTGTTTTTTTGTACTATACTAATTAAATCACTTATTCGATATCTTGTATGAAAATCTGTTGATATAATAGCTCATTATTATGAGAATCTGTACTGAGATGAAAACTCAGTTACATAGTAACAGCATACAATGCCGTTTAGCAACATTCTTGTTCACTACTATTCTGCTTTAATTATGTATAGTGACCTATCTATTAAGTGGAAAAGTTATTTTGATTATTATACTCAACATCAGTTTATTGATCGTTGAGTTATGCACATTTTATATGATTGGATGAGACATTACTTTTGTGACCACATATCAACTTGAAAACTATCTATAAATGCAATACCGAAATTCGGTTATAGTCTTGGAACTCATCTGATTTGTTTTTGAGGAATGAGTGGATTCCAAGACAGTTCCCACCTGGAGAATACCTGGGAACGCTGGATGGACAACTTAGTTCTGGTTCGGAATCCTCTCCAATGCGTATGCCTAGCTTTCTTGGGATCTAGCCTAGCCTTACCAATCTGTGATGAGAACCACTTTTAAATCTGTCTCATATTTTCATGATTTTTACCGACTCATTCGTGCTTTTGTGGACTTGAACATCTATTGTTTGATTTGGATGTCTTTTTGAGATCGTAATTTTGTTCCGGTGAATACACTTTCTTGTTCGCAATTAACCGTGAATATTAGAAACAATAGTGAATTCTTATATATAGAAATCAACTCATCATTGAACTGGGGTAGATTATATGCATGTTAGCATTCACTGAATAGTAGGATTTGAACTTCAAGTCCATACATTTCCATGAGTGATTGAGAACAAGAGAAAAATCTGTAGATGAGTTCAAAAATTACAGAGTCACGATTAGAAGCGCTTTCTATTTCTTCCATATCAGGAAAGTGGAGATTTTCTGAAAATATTTGACATCTATGAAATTTCTTATGGTAGATTTCGAAGCTATTTAGGGTGCTGTTGGTGTTGTACGGGCCACAGTAGTTCAGTGGTCTCCAAATCATTTTTAAAGGACACTACAATCTTAATAAGAATTCGGCATTTAAAGGTGAAGGCGAAATCTTCTCCCTGAATCAACTGTATACTGCTGGTATAAGGCTGTTTAGCTAACTTTTGCATGATTCTTTCTTACCTGACGATGTATTATATTTTCATATAAAGTTTACTAAACGAAATGACAATTGGTCTATATGGTGCATGGAAGCTACTTGCGAAGAGGTTTTTAAATCATACAATTTTAACTTATTTTGATATTTGTTTTAATAACAAATGATTAAGCTATCTTATCCTGATGATATGGATATTTAATGAAAACTTTTAACAAAATGCCTAAGATACGAAGGCAGTCAGTTTGGTGCGTCAGGTTATTCGTTCTCACCACAATCTTCATAGGGATTTTAGGAAAAAGGTGAACTGATGTGATAATCAGAAATGATGCTGTGGATTTCAGAAAGTGTTGAAAGAATATAAATTTGTTCATGAAAATGATAAGAAAGTGTTCAGTTTAGATGGTAGGGTGCAAACTGACTGTAAAGAATAACGAGAGAATACCGACCTGTTTCTTGTTTGATTTTTAGTGACTGATTTCAAATATTTATAAAGCACTATCCAAAACGTATTACACCCGTAGACAGCTGTAATCCTGATTGTATTTATCGAATAGTGGTTTGCTTTTCAGCTACACAAGTATGATTTTCTTCATTTTTCTCATACATCCATCTTTATCATTGCTTATCTGGTTCTAAAATTTACAAATAAGCTGTGATGACCGACTAATTTCTTCATGAAGTAATTTTATTTAAACGTCGCTACACAAACCTGTATTTTAACTGAGTGCAGGTGGGATAATTTGGTGAACAGAATTAGTAATCCTTGGTTTCGTATCGGAACTTATTTGGCAATCATCCCAGACATACAACTAAATGTATTCTAATGAATTCTCACTGTATATATATCTTTTGTTCTCGTTATTCATCTATTAAAGAATTCAATGGTGCTCAACTTATATTTTTCAGAGTTGGGTTTTCAATATGGTCCCCTGGTTTATTATTTTCCCATCCACCTTAGCTGCTGGAACATTAGCTGATCATTGGATTAAGCTGGTAATCATTAAGTTGTTTGTTTTTCGCTTAATTTTATTATACTTTAATATTGTCGTGTAACCGTATTATTTTTATTTGTACTGGTAAAGAGGGAAGGTTGGGCATAGGGCTAGCAACCCTACCCCGTAAAACAAATCTAACCGCTAAAGAAACTTCAAAGCACAAACAAAATATAAAAAATGAAAACAAACTTATTCCCCACTGGAATCGGAGAGGCGAAATGACGCCAGTTGGTGAAAGCCTTCAGGAAGCCAATTGGCCGATGTGTCTTCTCTCGATGAAAGCGAAAGTAAACGTGGGGACATGGAATGTCCGTACGATGTTTGAACCAGTAAGGCAGCCCAGATTGCAAAGGAGATGAGAAGGTATCACATCGAAGTGCTTGGGATTTGCGAAAGCAGATGGAATGGGAGTGGACTCTCCAAACTGTCAACTGGAGAATCAATAATCTACTCCGGTCACCCAGACGCCAACCACGAGCACACAGAGTTATGGAGTGGCTATCCTGATGTCCTCAAGAGCATCGAAGGCTCTCATGCAGTGGGAACCGATCTCCTCCAGGATCATGACAGCAAGATTCAACTCAAAGGAAGGAAGGTCTCAATTATACAATGCTACGCACCTAAAAATATTGCAGAGCAAGAGAAAAAGGGGAACTCTACAGACAACTTCAATCAACACTGGACAAGACACCGCCTCAGTTGGCGATATCAAAATTCTAATGGGTGGGGCGACATGAATGCCAAACTGGGAGGGGAGAACACAGGAAGAGAACTAACCATGGGTCAAGAAGCGCTAGGTGAGGTGATGAACGAGAATGGAGAATTGTTTGCAGAATTCTGTGCATCCAACGATTTGGTGATTGGAGGCAGTATGTTCAAGCACAAGGATATCCACAAAGCGACATGGATTTCACCAGACACCAGGACACACTAAAAATCAATCGACTTTATCTCAATCTCAAGAAAATGGAGACGCAGTCTACTTAACACAAGGTCAAGAAGAGGAGCAGATGTAGGTTCACACCACTCACTGTCTAGTGCAAGGAACCTTCAAAATCAAGTTAAAAGCCTTCAACGTAGCTGGTGTTAGACCACAGTTCAAGTACCACACTCGGAAACTGAAGGATGAAACTACAAAGGAGATCTTCATGGCAGCCATCAAGACAAAATGGGACATATTGAGGAACATCCCTGAATAAACCTGTGTGGAAGAACACTGGAAGTCTTTGAAAGCTATGTGGAAAGAAACCTGCACAGCGGTATTAGGAAGGAAGAAGAAAGAAGATAGAGAATGGATCTCGATGGACACATGGAAGCTTATGGAGGAGAGGGGGATGGTGAAGCAGCAGAGGAACCAGTGCACTGCAATGCATACCGGTTAAAATGTATAAAACACTGGACAAGGAAGTGAATAAGAGTGCACGGAAAGACAAAAGACGCTCCTACGAAACACTGGCAAGTGAAGCAGAACAGGCTGCAGGTAAGAGAGATCTGACAACATTGTATCAAATAACCAGGTTGCTATCTGGGAAGAGATCAATGCAGATGAAACCAGTAAAAATGAAGAAGGAAATTTAATTACGAAAGAAGAGGAACAGAGGAAACGATGGGCCGACCACTTCAAGAAGCTCTTGAATCGAACACCACCACCACCACCACCTGCACTTCGTCCAGAAATACCACCTGCAGCCCAGCCGCTGAATTACAAGTGAACATAAATCCCCCAACGAAAATGGAAGTCCTGAACGCCATTAAGCCACTGAAATGCGGGAAAGCAGCAGGACCAGATGGGATACCGCCAGAAGCACTGAGAACAGACACAGAGACAACAGCAGCGGATATGCTCACAACATTATTGCAGAAGGTGTGGAAGGAAGAGAAAGTACCTGCCAATCGATTGGAAGAAGGGTTACCTTGTCAAACTGCCGAAGAAAGGAGACCTGAGTGCTTGCAAGAACTGGTGCGGAATCACTCTGCTGTCCACCCAAAGCAAGCAAAATATTAAGCCGCATCATCCTGGAGAGGCTTAAAGATGCACTGGATTCAAAACTACGACCGGAACAGGCTGGCTGGCTGGCTGGATTCAGGAAGTACAAATCATGTGCGGACCAAATTGAAACGCTTCGCATCATCATAGAACAGAGCATAGAATGGCAGTCAACTACACACCTCAACTTTATCGACTTTGAGAAGGCCTTTGACAGCGTCGACAGAGAGGTAATTTGGAAACTGCTTCACTACTACGGAATACCGCAAACCTTTATCAGCCTCATTCAACAACTATATGAAGACGCCACATGCCAGCCAAGTAATTCACAATGGGAAGCTCAGTGATGCTTTTGAAGTGAAGACAGGAGTCAAACAATGTTGCCTACTATCACCCATGATATTCCTGATTCTGGTCGACTGGACTGGATCATGCAGCTGACAACTGTGGGGAGCGAGAAGAGGGGGATACGCTGGCTGGACTGCGGAAAAGAACCTAGAAGACTTGGATTTCGCCGATGACTTGTGCCTGATGTCACACAAACTTGAAGATGTACAGGCAAAAACTAACAAGTTGACAGAAGAGGCAGAGCAGCGAAGACGGGACTTCAGGTGAATATAGAGAAGACAGAAGTTATGAAGATACTGCACCAAAAACTCCAACAACAACAACAACAACAACAAACTCCAATCACCATCAACGGGAGAAACTAAAAGGAAGTAACCTCCTTCACCTATCTAAGCAGCACTGTTTCAACTACAGGCAGCGGTGGCACAGACGAGGACGTCAAAGTCAGAATCGGAAAAGCAAGATAGGCCTTCGTTCATTAGCCTCAAACCAGTGAGGAGATCTTCTGCACTCAGCATAAAACGTGAGCAAGATCCGGATTTTCAACACCAACTTCAGTCAAGTCACTGCTTCTGTATGGTTCAGAGACTTGGCGCATCACGAAAGGGATTTCCAATCAACTACAGACATTCATCAACAACTGCCTACGCTGGCTAGTTACTGAAGATCAGATGGATTGCCAGAAAGAATAAGCAACAAGGAGCTCTGGGGACGAACCAACCAAGAACCTATTACGCAACAAATATGCAGAAAGAAGTGGAGATGGATTGAGCATGCACTGAGAAGGCCGACTGAGGACATCACGCGTCAGGCCGGGTACTCGAGTGGAATCCCCATGGGAAGCGACGAGTTGGACGTCCCAGCTGAGGGTGACATGGAGGAGATCGTGCGAGGAGGAAATGAGAGCTTCTGGGCTGTCGTGGAGCCAGGTTCAAAAGATCTCAGAGAACAGAGGTCACTGGAGGCGTGCTACTGAAGCCCTATGTTCCTCTAGGAACCCAGGGGACTAATGATATTAAAATAATAATAATAACGGTATTATTTTAATTCGTACTGGTATTTGTGTAATATTAACTTAATTATGCTTTGTGCTATTAAAAAAAGGAAAAGAGAACATATCCTTTCTAAACAGTGCATAGTAAATTGAGAACATGTGTTCGCCTCTTCGTTTGTCTATATCATAGATTTTATCAATAGTCTTCACTTTGTTACTCAACGACGCTGTTTTGTTTTTACGTGTTTATTATTTTAAAGTAATTTCGCCTTCCAACATAAGTGTATAAATGTGATCTGGATTAATAAATTTCAGTTGTTTCTGCACATAACAAAAGTTATTTTGCTTCCCTACCAACCAGCAAGACACTAAAAAAAAGGCTAATATATTAGTCAAATGAGTCATCTAAGGCTGGCTTGAAACTTCACCCTAACAACTGGTGAGATAAACAAGCAAGTTTATCTACTTTACTTGAAAGCACCATCACAGACGGAAAATCGAAACCTGATTGGTTATTTCAGTGATTGCTAGAGTGACCTTTAAAGTCAGTTTCCTCTGATGACCGACGTGTCATTGTGATCTATTTTTTCATGAGAATGGTCATGGCTTGTTTGACTTAATGATAATATTTTTGGTTACCACTATTCGAATTAACATCACCGACCACTTCAACAAACATGAAATGTTGTTTCAAGGTTCTCATACTTTTGATATCATAGATCATGCCATCAGCAGATTTTATTCGCTGAAATAACTGCTTTACCGAATTTTATTTCATGTTAACTGGATTCACTTTCTCTATCTTCGCATGGATGGAACAAAATATGGCAGTTTACAAATTAAAATGAATTCTTGTAAAAAGCAAAAGCAACAAAATGACACAGCTAAACAGACAGACACTAGCAATGATCTCTACAAAAAACTTCGCTCTTCCGGTACTGTTACTCCAAGTTTGTACGCTCTGCCAAAATTCCACAAAGATATCATTCATCTCCGTTCAATACTGTACATGAAGGACTCTCCATACCACAAACATTGGCAAAAGAAACAGTTCTTGAAACGGTGTTTCCATTGCGTCCCAGTTAACTGAGTCAATCGAGGATGATAATCTGTTTCGAAGAAAAATGACTCCATTAGACATCGTGTCGCTGTCCACAAAAGTAGCGATAACAGAAACAATCTGTCTCTTTCGTAATTCCACTCAATCCGGGAATCTGGATGTAGGTGTGCGAACCAGACCACTATGTAAAAGAACTCCTAAGATTAACGTTTAACGTCCACTTGAGATTTAATAACGAAATTTACAGACAAGTAGGTGAAGTAGCCAGGAGATCGCCTGTTGGACCATTACTTGTTAACTGCTTCTTGGCTATCCTCGATGAAGGTGCTTTGCTCCCAACAATCGACCAACTTCATGTGTGTAAGAGATACATAGAAGATGCCTTCATTGTTTGTAGTGACAACCTGGACCTGACACAGCTGGTTGTAAATTTCAACGACAGACAGCCTTTAGTCGAATTTAGACTGGAGGCTGATGCCAACTGGGCACTTCATTTTCTCGACTTTGAACTCCAAAGGAGGTCTGATATTTCGATTCGAAGATCCATGTACTACGGGAGGCCCATGTGGAACGATCACTGACCGACTTTCGAAGCTGGATAGCTAGCTGGAGGTTGGAAGAGGAATCCTGTGTTCTCACTGTCATCAATAATAAGAAAGATGTGAACTGATGAAGAATTTGGAACTTTGTGAGGAATTCTGTTTAAGAGAATTGCTACCCATCCAGATTTGTGGAGGAAAAAGTGACATCGTTCTTCAACGTTTGTCAAAGTCCCTAGTCAGAACATTCTATGCCTCAAACCTTCGTGTTGTCAGCTCTTGTTAGCTGCTGATTCGTCAGTGCGACAAATACAAGTTGATGTATTGGGCTTTGTCGAAGTGTACACCTCGTAGACTTTGAACATGTGGCTCCTCTGTAAACCTGGTTCATAGTTTGACCTAATTATATCAAAGTAACCACAACTTGCAGCCTCCATTTGGTAACACTTTTATCAGTCCACATTCCTTGTTTTCAGTAACAGTAAAATTTCCCATGCCTTCCGAATAGGTTATCCACTCTCTTTGATTTATGAGTTAGCAAATGATTAAAAAGATTCATTTTGTTGGATTGAAGAATGAAACGATGAACGTGTGGTGGCTTAATCACTGTTGTAGTTAGAAAACCAACACAGTATGACAGATATTTTGGCATCAGTTTGTCGTATTCAATATCGGTTGAAGCATGTGTATTGAGGTGTCTATGAAACAGAGCTAGGAAGGTCACCAGTGAGTCAGAGGAGCTGAAACATGTACAGTAAACATAATCATTCAACATTCATACTCTGGATTTGATAAGGGAATTCATAAGAACGCATTAGGAAAGAAGTAGTAATAGTATTACGAAAAGTAACCGCAACTTAAATGGAAAGAAGTGTGAAGTCTCTTTTGTGTTACCATATGAAGAAAAAGTATTCGAATCTTGATATAGAATTCTTAACAGTTCTGGGATTAAGGTGACATTGAAACCTACACACCCACTTTGAGATTAACTTTGTATGTTTTAGTATCCTATTTGCCCAATTCAACGAAATAATTTCACCTTCCAAACGCCATACAATGACAATGAGATGAAGTACATTGTCGGAGCTGCGGATGAAGAGCAGTTAGGTTATGGAAGCATAAGAAATTAGCTAAGTTTAGCATGATAGACTCATCAAGTTAAGTAATGTGGAGGAGAATTGAGTCAGTGAGAGGGCTTCAAGTGTTTGACCAGCGTTGCCTTCGTAGTGTCACCACGTGAGTAATGCAGAAGTCAGGAGTAGAGTTTTAGGGGGTAGACGCAAGTCAGTTGACGAGGTTATGAACCTTCATCGATTGAGATGGTTGGGACACGTACTACGTATGCCTCGTCACAATATTCACAAAGTGGGTCCAGGCTGGAGAAAGGCCCGAGGTGGCCAGACTAAGAAATGGCATCAATGAATGAAGTCTCAGAATGTTGGTCTGAGCCATGTGGGGCAGCGAATCAGACTAGGTGGTTGGGTCCGTAGGACAAGAGGAACCAGTGGTTGGGGACTGTAGATGATATGGCTCAGAACCGATGTCAGTGGTGCAGATGTATACACACATTATCGTCATCTTAACGACGCTATACCGAATCTCACCACTTTGTCATTTCTCTTTTCTTTCTTTCGTACTTAATATTTCTTTTGACTGCATTCTCTTATCTTCATGCTTCACCTCACTACCTTTCTAGTTGATGTACTGATATGAGGTGTTGCAACTTTGGCCGTTACTCAGTAATGCCTGGTCCTATGTTGATGTTGATTGATTGATTGATTGATTGAATTCAGTCATTGCTATGCAGGCGATCGGACAAAACCATGTAATAGGGTTGAACAGAGTCATATTATTATTGAATACTGTAAGGTGCAGTGGTTGACTACTGAGTCGGTTTTCAGCTAATCGAAACCCAGCTTGTGCAATAGGAATTTTGGGAAGTTAGAACATAATTTTTGAAGGGACGAATTATGGGCTTCTTGAAACAATAAGAATTGTTCACCACGAATCCTACCAATGAAATTAAAGGATAAAAACATTAGAACTGTGCAAAGGGAGTTGAACTGCTGCAATTATATCATGGAATTACTGGACGTTTAACCGAATTCCTTCAGCCGGTGAAAAATCAGATCACTAATTACAGTACTCCTGACTCCTTCGACTTGGTTAACTTCATAAGAAATGTCAACCTGTGTGGTGAGCGTATCTTATCATTGAACGTCATATCGTTCTTCACTCACAGATGCCCATTTAATGGGAAAAATCTGCTTCCTATTTGACTATATTGAGATTGACGAGCTTAAAATTGGAATTGCTAATCATTATCTGAAGGAATTTCTCTTACGATGTACCTTTATTATGCAATTTAAATTCAATAGTGAACTTTATCAACAATCGGATGGAGTGACAGAGGGTTCACCGTTGCATCCTCTCCTATGTGATTTCTTCATGGCCAATCTGCAGAACAGTAAACTACGTCCCCTGATCGACTAGTTTCATCCACATAAGAGATAAATGGATGACACTTCCATCATCTGTGAGGAGGATAGTAACCTTGAAGGAATACAATGAAAGTTCATTGATTGTCATGAGTCAAGTGAATTTACCACGGGAACTGAAAATCACTAAGAATTCCACCTTCTGAAGGTTCTATTGAAAAGAAGACATCATAGTTGCCTAAGAAGATTGATTTACAGAGAACGAAGGTGGAATGGTCATTACATTCCTTTTGCAAAGCTGGGTTCCACTAGTCAGGAAAAGAAATCTAGTTCATTCATTATCCACACAAATTAGAAGAATATATGCTGATGATACAGTAGACGAGTATCTGGAAGTACTTCGAAGAGTGTTAGTGGAGAATGGCCTAGCCTTCAAGATTCACTAAGAGGAACATGATGCCTAAGAATTTCAAAGAAGAAGCCCCTACAGTTCCTTAGATGACACTATTTATGAATATTGGATTCGAGGGAGATACACTAACAGAGCTACTGAAGAAGACCTTATTTTCCGCTCAGTTTAGAATTGTTTTCTGCAGTGGACAACTGACTCGAGTGTGAGGAGAGGGTAAACCACCACTTTGCACCACCTTCATATTTGTTTACCTGTTGACCTGCTGTTGTGGAGCTGGTTACACAGGCCACATAAGACGTGTTCCATCCAAACCCATCTCCGAACACTGTCCTGCATGGCTGTCTAAAGGACAGTGTAAAGCCGTCAACAGCTCGATTCTTAAGCATTTGATTATCTCTGACCACTGTGCTCTACGAGAGTCTTCTTTCAAAGTCATTTATAAAGTGAAGGCACACATTTCGGAGTGAGTGAGTATTCGCCACCTGAACACAATGGGAGCTGTGGAATTTCAACATTACAAGCTTGATCGTTGTGTTCAGGAAAGATTTATTCAGTTTTTCTAGTTTTACCTTCTTCACAGTTTGCATATTTGAGGCAGCAGACTTCGTTGAGTATTTTCGAACTGTGTTCATGTTTCGTCTTACTTTTTCTCTTGGTGGTGTAGCAAGTTATCCTTACTCTACGTTCATAGTTTATGCAGCTCTCAGTATCATCTGGATCATGAGTTGCGTGATTTCAATGCATCAAGGACGTGCGTGTAGACGTTTGGTCACTGAGAATGTTTCAGTAAGACATTTACCTTCTGAGTCTGTCTTCAGGTTATCATTCCATATCTCTTGCTACTTGACTTCAGTTAAAGCGAAAATATTGTACTTTTTCGTTATGCGGTATAAGTATTTCATTCAAAGTTACTACTCGTTTGTTTTTTTCTTTTCTACTTTAGGTGTGTCCGTGACTTTTGTGCGAAAGATAATTACTGTGAGTTTCCAATCTTTATCACATACTTAATTATCACTTTTAAGTAAGACAGTATTGTGTTGTTAGTTTTAATAATTCTTTGACTCCGGCTTCGCGTTTCCGTAGTGAACATAATCTCCTTTTGAATTACTCGAAGTAATCAGAAATTAGGGTGAAATTACTTATTTTAGTGTGTGTGTAGTGTTGATTGTAAGACGACCAGGGTTTTTATGAAGCTGAGGATAGCCACTTCAGGATGTGAGTCGTCATCTATAAACCCTTTGATGGGTTTTCTCGGTCACTTGGGTAAATTTTTGTTGGGTTTGAGTTAGCTACAACTCAGAATCGGTGACAGTAGCGCAGATGCATTATCTTACTGTGCTATCTCTTACTATTTTTTGTATAGCTTCCTGTAACTTCTAACTGCACTATTTCCATTTTATGTCTTCTATCGTGTTAACTTCTGCCTTGGTGTGCTAAAATGTAGGGTTGTAGTGCACTTTTGTTTGAAGTTATAGCTCAAGGGATAATTGAATGTTTAACTGAATAAATTTTGTTCCCCATCATGCTAATGGTATCTCGGTAACTGGTGTCAAAGCATTAAAAACATGCATCTTTGGTTTTTTATGGTTGTGGTGAAGTCATGACAGACCTGTCGCTTTGCACTGACTACGTCCCTCTTTACTGGTTGCTGACCGAGCATTTGTATAGATTAAGATTATACTTAATTGGCTACTATGTGTAGCATAATAAGAGAGCTAGGAGGGGAGAAGGGCTCACGGCCTTTGAAAGTAGAGAGCTTATGGGTCAAGTGTTTGAAAAATAGTACAACACATCATTGTTAACAAAAATTGCATTTTTTAAAAGAGGTTATTATCGCTTTTTCAACTGTCCTCATTGTGGATGTGAAAATCGATCTGTTACTCCAGCCTCTGGAGTTCAAGATAAAGGACGACGTTTGATAGTTACAGTTACGAACATGAAAGATCTAAACATACGTCTTGTTCGACAGTAAATATTCCACATTTCCTTTTTCCGATTGAGGTTAGTTTCACTCATAACCAAAGGTTCACACACCGCTGCACCTACTGAAGTTTGGACAGCCAGGTGATAATGTCATTAGCCCTCACACAACAGGTGTAGCTCGAACGGGCACAAGATTGATGATTGGGGCAAGGTTTTTCTTGTGCCTTTTTATTAGACTGAAATAACTCCCCTAATTTGTGCAGACTGTTAACTAGCAGTTCGAGTTATAATTTCTTTTAGTTGAACATCAGTTACGCAGCAATTGTGGATTCTTTTGATTTGCTGTCTCAAAATATGATGGCTTGAACTATTAAACTCTTGCACTGGACTATATAAATTTGACCTGTTCATCATTTAACATTTTTCGTGAGAGATCAATGTTTCTTGAAGGACTGAAGCATTTTTCTATGTGTGAGCTGTTTGCACTTGGAGGTTAAAAACAGAGATCACAGTCATAGGAAACACACTGAAGCGTACTGCGTAATTTAGTTTCTGATCAAACTAGAGGCATTATCACTGAAGATCTCCAAAAGGTTTGACGAGAAAGTGTTTGAGCAAATTTCTTAGTATAGCAGTTTTCTGTAGTCTATTTTTTCAGTAATCCCTGTTCATACAGTCGGTATATGAATTACTTAGTCATTACTTCGTTTATTTGACAATTTTAAATTTCGTAATAGTTTTATATTTGCAATAAACGAATCTCTGTCTATGGAACCTGTCTTGCGTTGCGTATCAAAAGTAGGCAGAAAGAATGGTTGCATCAAAGCATGAAAGTAGTTTTTAAAGGAAACTGGAGAATACATTTTAGGGAAGAAAACATATTTTTATTTTACTGTTTTCAAGTCTATTAGTTTCAGTGTTTACTGTGTAATCGAAAAGCAGGAAATGATTAGTACCATAAAAATAATTAATTATTATCAAGAATTGAATTCAAGCCTATTTAAGAAACCCCCACTCATAAATTCATTAACTACTTGCTTCCATAATCTAGGCGAATGTATTTGAGGCTAAGAAAATTTGTGCTAGTTTTCACCGTCATAACGTATAAGTGTTAATTAGGTAGCTAGAAACGATTTTATCTCAGTCTTGGTTTAGACTTCTCATTATTGTGTAGCATCCTAGGTTTCATCTTCACTTAACTGTTAGGTCTACTAGTCTTGTGTCCTGGAACATCAATTATCTCCTACTTGTCTTGTTACAGTGAATATTGCTCATTAACCAAACTAAAAATCAGTTGAAATTTAGTGATGGTAAGTCATAATTACTATGTTGGTCTCTTTTGATTAATGGTAGTCAAATACCTTGACAACTCCCCTACTTAAAGTTTTTTTAGATCGGGATATAGAGACCTCGGTTGATCATGCTTGTAAAGCACCAGTCAGTTAAAATACCACGGAACACAGAATGTCCTAAATGAGACTAACTACTGATCTGAATTCGATTACACTGGAGCTGTGACTGTGTGGTTTAGGGAGACTACTATCAACAGTGAGTCACAGATTCAAACCTCGCTTCAACTACGAGGTTTGGGCAGCCAGATAGTATTACTAACCCTCGCATAATGTTTGACCCATTGCCTGCTGCATGGATGTGCACATGGTTGCTGGGTGTGTCTTTTTTACACTATTTATTGGGGAATATGGAACTTTTGTTGTATATACATAAGCAGTGGCAAACATGGCTTACAATTATTCACTATAATTTCTCATTGGTTTAATGTATTTGGGTAAACCAATCAGCTTAAGTTAGCTTAAATGATTTTACCTTTCAGTGTCACCTAAATAAACCGCTGTTCGGAATATTCATATGAGGTTGGATAAAACTATACACTAGATTATGTGATTTTAATTTTGTCTTTCCTAGTCGTCAATGCTTAAAAAAGTTGATCTGTTTAACTTTATAGTATATTGTTGTTAAAAAAAAAATTTAGTTAAGCAACTGAGACATGCTTCTGTTGCAACATCGGTTTCAACCATCAGCTTCTACTTAATTATGAGTAATAGTTGATATGTGCATATTTTTTTGCATATTTTCCATCTTTTACAGACAGTTGTCCTCTTGGGATCATCTTTGTTTTTGTTTATTTTGTCTTCACTGGACAACTATTATGGATCGTTGGTGTGTATGGCTTTTGCATTAGCTTGCTTAGGTTTTCACTGCAGTGGTGTTCTCTTGAATCCTCAGGATATGGCTCCAAATCATGGTGGTCAGTTATACGGTAGGTTTCTTTTTACAATAAAGTGACCAGATGCATATTTCAAAACTAGTACACATGATTATAATTTCTACTTATTTTAACAATATCTGCACTCAAAAATAGGTTTCTCAACTAGCTCGAATACGGAAAGCTTGTTTAACATACCCCAACTTGCGTCATCTGTGGTGCCAACTGGCGAGATATGCCACTACCTGTTAAAGGACGAGTATTTTGCCCTGCTGTCTGTTCTTTCCTACAGTCGATGAAGTAACTGATTGTTGATCTGACCTGTGTTGGGAGATGTAGACCACCTGGCTGGGGTCCCTAAGACGATAAGAATCAGGGAATAAGGACTCTTGGCGACATGGCTGGAAACTGGTCACTTGTTCCCTTCTAAAGCTTTGATATTTGCATAAGCCTTTATCTTCAAATTTTCGATTCTCTCACACAACTATGTTTTACTTTGATATCACTCTTTTTCTGTCCACTTGTTCTTTGTAAACAACTGTGAAGTATGGCAGCGTGAACGGATGCAGTTGTGTGTGAGGTCCTACGTTAACGTTTTCCATTTGCTGTTTTCTCTCTTTCCTGAAGGCAAATTTTACCCTCAGTAAAATGCTGCTTGCACCAATGCATTTGACCTATGTATAACAATCCATTTCCTATTAGTGCAAGACAAACGATAATACTGTCTTAATTCTAACATTTATATTTACTGTTATTCTCAACCTTACCTATTTGAAACTGTATCAATGATATACACTCTGAAATTTAATTGACATACCTAATTAAGATGTAGGTTTTCGAATATTGAACTGTTGGCAAGAGTTGATAAAGGTTCTAAACCTATATTTCATATTTGTGAGAATTAATCAACGAAAGTTGTATGCAATCAAATTATCTTCAGAAGTTCTCTCTTGTGTCGCTCAGCGAGAGAATTACAAACTTTACCACTGTACCACCTCACCCTGCACTCAGCTTCAGGAATAGTATGAGTTTGTTGAGACATCTCGTTGTTGATCATCAGTAAACTTTTAACTGACGTTTCATAACCTCCAGTCGACTACCTCTAAATATGTGTCCTCAGATTGCCATAACCAGCTTGTTGGTCAAATAGTTGATATTTGATCCCTTTTTCATGAAACTAGAGTTTACTGTAATTTCAGTTAACCTTCTCAGACTCGTTCTTAAACATTGTATGTATTATTATGGTACCTGTTATTTCTCCACCTAGACGTTGTTTGAACTATATTATAATTCTACCTATTCACACCTAACATTCACCTTTGACGTGATTAGTCTCGCATAGACTTGTCATGTCTCGTGTGCTCAATTGACCCACTTGGTGACTCAAGCATTTTATCCCTCCCAAACTCGTATGCCAGAATACAAAGTCTTGCACTTTTGATACTCATGGTTTAAGCAATCTGAATCATGTAATGATGCAACTGAATCTCCTGTCCACAACACACTAAAATTCATAAAAATGAAAAAAACATCAGATTTCATGCACGAAAAATTAAATTATTATTATTATTAGTCCCTTGCGTTCCTAATGGAACATGCAATTTAAATTCAATAGTGAACTTTATCAACAATCGGATGGAGTGACAGAGGGTTCACCGTTGCATCCTCTCCTATGTGATTTCTTCATGGCCAATCTGCAGAACAGTAAACTACGTCCCCTGATCGACTAGTTTCATCCACATAAGAGATAAATGGATGGCACTTCCATCATCTGTGAGGAGGATAGTAACCTTGAAGGAATACAATGAAAGTTCATTGATTGTCATGAGTCAAGTGAATTTACCACGGGAACTGAAAATCACTAAGAATTCCACCTTCTGAAGGTTCTATTGAAAAGAAGACATCATAGTTGCCTAAGAAGATTGATTTACAGAGAACGAAGGTGGAATGGTCATTACATTCCTTTTGCAAAGCTGGGTTCCACTAGTCAGGTTCCTAATGGAACATAGGGCTTCACTAGCACGTCTCCAGTGAACTCTGTTCTCTGAAATCGTTTGAACCTGGCTCCACGACGGCCCAGAAGCTCTCATTTCCTCCTTGCACGATCTCCTCCATGTCACCCTCAGCTGGGACATCCAACTCGTCGCTTTCCATGGGGATTTCACTCGAGGGCCTGACGCGTGATATCCCCAGTCGGCCTTCTCAGTGTATGCTCAATCCATCTCCACTTCCTTCTGCATACTTGTTGGGTGATAGGTTCTTGGTTGGTTCGTTCCCAGAGCTCCTTGTTGCTTATTCTTTCTGGCAATCCATCTGATCTTCAGTAACTAGCCAGCGTAGGCAGTTGTTGATGAATGTCTGTAGTTGATTGGGAATCCCTTTCGTGACGCGCCAAGTCTCTAAATCATACAGAAGCAGTGACTTGACTGAAGTTGGTGTTGAAAATCCGGATCTTGCTCACGTTTTATGCTGAGTGCAGAAGATCTCCTCACTGGTTTGAGGCTAATGAACGAAGGCCTGTCTTGTTTTTCCGATTCTGACTTTGACATCCTCGTCTGTGTCCGTGCCACCTGTAGTTGAAACAGTGCTGCTTAGATAGGTGAAGGAGGTTACTTCCTTTTAGTTTCTCCCGTTGATGGTGATTGGAGTTTGTTGTTGTTGTTGTTGTTGTTGGAGTTTTTGGTGCGGTATCTTCATCACTTCTGTCTTCTCTATGTTCACCTGAAGTCCCGTCTTCCTCCTCTGTCCTGCCTCTTCTGTCAACTTGTTAGTTTTCGCCTGTAGATCTTCAAGTTTGTGTGACATCAGGCACAAGTCATCACTGGCGAAATCCAAGTCTTCTGGGTTCTTTTCCGCAGTCCAGCCAGCGTATCCCCCTCTTCTCGCTCCCCACAGTTGTCAGCTGCATGATCCAGTCCAGTCGACCAGAATCAGGAATATCATGGGGGATAGTAGGCAACATTGTTTGACTCCTGTCTTCACTTCAAAAGCATCACTGAGCTGAGCTTCCCATTGTGAATTACTTGGCTGGCATGTGGAGTCTTCATATAGTTGCTGAATGAGGTTTGCGGTATTCCGTAGTAGTGAAGCAGTTTCCAAATTACCTCTCTGTCGACGCTGTCAAAGGCCTTCTCAAAGTCGATAAAGTTGAGGTGTGTAGTTGACTGCCATTCTATGCTCTGTTCTATGATGATGCGAAGCGTTTCAATTTGGTCCGCACATGATTTGTACTTCCTGAATCCAGCCAGCCAGCCTGTTCCGGTCGTAGTTTTGAATCCAGCGCATCCTTTAGCCTCTCCAAGATGATGCGGCTTAATATTTTGCTTGCTTTGGGTGGGCAGGAGAGTGATTCCAGGCCAGTTCTTGCAAACACTGAGGTCTCCCTTCTTCGGGAGTTTGACAAGGTAACCCTTCTTCCAATCGATTGGCAGGTACTTTCTCTTCCTTCCACACCTTCTGCAATAGTGGTGTGAGCATGTCCGCTGCTGTTGTCTCTGTGTCTGTTCTCAGTGCTTCTGGCTGGATCCCATCTGGTCCTGCTGCTTTCCCGCATTTCAGTGGCTTAATGGCGTTCAAGACTTCCATTTTTGCTTTAGGATTTATGTTCACTTGTAGTTGTGTGGCTTTAGGTGGTATTTTTGGACGAAGTGCAGGTGGTGGTGGTGGTGGTGGTGGTCGATTCAAGAGCCTCTTGAAGTGGTCGGCCTATTGTTTCTTTTGCTTCTCTACTTTCGTAATTAAATTTCCGTCATCCTCTTTTATTGGTTTCGTCTGCATTGATCTCTTCCCAGATAGCAACCTGGTTATTTGATACAATGTTGTCAGATCTCTCTTACCTGCAGCCTGTTCTGCTTCACTTGCCAGTGTTTCGTAGGAGCGTCTTTTGTCTTTGCGTGCACTCTTATTCACTTCTTTGTCCAGTGTTTTATACATTTTAACCGGTATACATTGCAGTGCACTGGTTCCTCTGCTGCTTCACCATCCCCCTCTCCTCCATAAGCTTCCATGTGTCCATCGAGATCCATTCTCTATCTTCTTTCTTCTTCCTTCCTAATACGGCTGTGCAGGTTTCTTTCCACATAGCTTTCAAAGACTTCCAGTGTTCTTCCACACAGATTTCTTCAGGGATGTTCCTCGACATCTCCGATTTTGTCTTGATGGCTGCCATGAAGATCTCCTTTGTAGTTTCATCCTTCAGTTTCCGAGTGTTGTACTTGAACTGTGGTCTAACACCAACTTCCTTGAAGGCTTTTAACTTGATTTTGAAGGTTCCTTGCACTAGACAGTGGGTGGTGTGAACCTACATCTGCTCCTCTTCTTGACCTTGTGTCAAGCAGACTGCATCTCCGCTTTCTTGAGATTGAGATAAAGTCGACTTGATTTTTAGTGTGTCCATCTGGTGTCTGGTGAAATCCATGTCGCTTTATGGATATCCTTGTGCTTGAACATACTGCCTCCAATCACCAAATCGTTGAATGCACAGAATTCTGCAAACAATTCTCCATTCTCGTTCATCACCTCACCTAGCGCTTCTTGACCCATGGTTAGTTCTCTTCCTGTGTTCTCCCCTCCCAGTTTGGCATTCATGTCGCCCCACCCATTAGAATTTTGATATCGCCAACTGAGGCGGTGTCTTGTCCAGTGTTGATTGAAGTTGTCTGTAGAATTCCTCCTTTTTCTCTTGCTCTGCAATATTTTTAGGTGCGTAGCATTGTATAATTGAGACCTTCCTTCCTTTGAGTTGAATCTTGCTGTCATGATCCTGATCCTGCAGGAGGAGATTGATTCCCACTGCATGAGAGCCTTCGATGCTGTTGGGGACATCATGATAGCCACTCGATAACTCAGTGTGCTCGTGGTTGTTGTCTGGGTGACCGGAGTAGATTACTGATTCTCCAGCTGACAGTTTGGAGAGTCATCTCCCATTCCATCTGCTTCCGCAAATTCCAAGCGCCTCAACGTGATACCTTCTCATCTCGTTTGCAACCTGGGCTGCCTTGCTGGATTCAAACGTGGCGCGGACATTCCATGTCCCCATGTTTACTTTTGCCTTCATCGAGGGAGAGAAGACAGATCGGCTAATTGGCTTCCCGAAGGCTTTCACCAACTGGCGTCATTTCGCCTCTTCGATTCCAGCGAGGAATAGGCTTGTTATTATTTTTTATATTTTGTTTGTGCTTTGAAGTTTGTTTAGCGGTTATATTTGTTTTCCGGGGTAGGGTTGCTGGTCGTGTGCCCAACCTTCCCTGTTTATCGGGGCTTAGGACCGGCTAGTAACTAGTGTACTAGTTAATCAGGCGAGGTTGCACGAATATTTAAATGATACACAATAATTAATTTCATTCAACAAGCAATTGTTTCAGAACATTAGTCATGCAACAATGGTTTAGGGGTCAATCAACACCTCTTGAGCTGAGCTTTACAGTAATTTTATCAAATGCATCATAAGTGTAATACCCTTTAAAATGAATAAGATAGTGCGGTCTGTAATATTTGTCTGAGCTTCACGTTTTGCATTTTTCTGTCAACATAACACTCTAAATTTCTAAAATGTTCTTTTCCATTTGACTTTTATAATAGGAATAATGGCTACTGTGGGTACATTTCCAGGATTTGCGGGTGTTTATATGGTTGGTTATTTATTAGAAACTACAAATCAATGGTCAGTTATATTTACGCTCACTGGTGTCATCAGTATATTTGGTTGGATAGGATACATTTTATATGGTTCATCGGAAGTTCTTTTGTGAGTGGACATTTTCTCTGTGATTTATGTACCTGTAAGACAAACTGTTGACTTGTGGAAAACGTGTATCACATAAATCTGTAATGACGAAAATGCCTTAAAAGCACAAGCATCAGGATAGGAGGAGATGAATATTCTGATCGTCAATGCAAGTTACCATCTTTTCAGTTTGTCTTTATCGATCGTTTAACAGGCGATAACCAAAAAGTTGTGATAACCTTCCTAGCTTTGTTAATGAATTTCACAAAGGTGGATGAATATATCTCTGTATTTCTCATTTTTGTAAGTTAACTTTTATTTATCTTGAACCCTCGTAAAGTGATAGTTGTTTGTACAGATTTATTAAAGAGCTTCAGGGAAACTTTATTTTGATTTTATATTTTTCATTTTATTTTAGTCGTACATACGTTGTTCATTTCAACTAGCCTTTCCCTCCCCCCCATTTTCTGTAACTTTTGTTAGTTTTTAACCACTGCAGTTTGTATTTGCTTCTCTGGTGTTAGTTGTAAAATGTTTATTTACTGATCTTGATTATGGTGTTTTTATTCTTACCCTATAGAGTATTCAAGAAAATGATGTAATAATGCATTTATTATTGCGCGTTTTGAAATAATAGGATTGATCTAGTAAATGTGATTTGAGCTGGATGGATTACTTGCAAATTCGTTATTATCGTATCAGACATCTTTCTCAATTTAAAGTTGAGATCAAAACATCTTACCTTACCAAAAAAGCAACATACCCCAAACAGCATACATATCTTAACAACTCCTTCAATTTACTAATTTATGTCTATGTCTGTTGATCACCAGTTCCTTTCAATTCTCAATTCATATCGTCTCTTGGCTTTCCATTATTCACTTTTTAACAGTTGAATTTATGTACATAGTTATTTCTTTATGTCTTAGTATCGAGGATGATATATCTAATCAATCGGTAATTTAACAATGTTCATCTAGGTGAATGGAACACGATGAAAACTTTGTTAGGCATAGATAAGCAGGTTTTTTTTACTCATGACAGGTGTCTTTCTGCACGGAGAATTATTTTACTGAATTTCTGAGTTGTATTAACTCTTAGAAATGTTAACCATAGCTTATAAACATCGGAGTTATGACATCGAGGAGTGAATTCTTCCTTAGTTATTTCATAGTTTTAATCACCTGGCTGACTGACAAAATCAACGTGGAACCTCGCACTCAAGTGCATTGGTTGAAACTACCACACTTTATAGTAGTTTACAATGAATGGGTTGATAGAAAAAGGGTGATATTAAAGTAGACAAAGGTGTGTGAGAGAATAAACAATCTGGAGGTAACAGTTAGTGCAAATATTCCAGCTTTAGGTGTCGAGTGAATACATATGTGCCATTGTTAGCGATTTTCAGTCATGTCATGTCACCAAACGTTCTCAACCACTGATTTCTTTCATCTCAGGGACTCCAACCTGGCAGTCTTCATCTTTCCACATGGCTCATACCAACATTAAGAGGCTTGTTTAACATACTCCTTGGTGAGGATTGTCTGCAAACATGCACCCACAACCACAGTTTATTTTCGAATGAATTTATCATGCAGTACCATGATGTGAATGATTATGGAATTACTTGCTGTTTGGTTTAGCTTGGATGTGTAGTAAATGGGATAAGTATTTGAATGCAGAACTGGATTATGTGGTCATAAAATTAACAGAAGCAACAAACGTATTTCTTATTGTATTCCTAAAAATTCTTGTCAGACAATAACCTCGTTCAGGCTGTGTAAAAAAATGTAAACAATCAACCAACGGAAAAAGAGAATACACATGTCGATTTTGGCGTTCGAACCCAGCAAATTCTGAAATTCGATATTGTAAACTTTTGCAAATTAAGGCTAGTATTCTCATCTGCATTTATTGAATGAAACCGAAACACCACCTTTTCTCCGAAATCCAATGGGAGCCGGAGTAGAATTGCTTTGGAAAAAAACTCAGGGTAGTCAGACCGGGACGTGGGCCTAGTCCTCCAAGTCTCCGACTGTTGATCTTAGCCGTGTAGACTGTCTGGTTGGGGTCCTTAAACCATAAGAATCAATGATTGCAGACTCTTGGTGACGTGATTGAAAATTGGTCACATTGGTGCGAACGTATTCCCTCCTCGACGCCTTCCAAAGCTTGATTGTTTTGACTAACCTTTATTTTTAAATTCGACATGAATATCAACATAGGACCAGGCATTAGCGCGTAACGGTTCGAGTTGCAACAGCTCATATCAGTACATAAATAAAAAACGTAGTTAAGTGAAAGATGAAGATAAGAAAATTTAGTCAAAAGAAATATTAAGTACAAGAAGAAAGACAAGAGGAATGACAAAAAGGTGAGAGTCGGTATAGTGTTAAGAGTCTCCAGCCACTGGTTCCTCTTGTCCCATGGACCCCAACCACCTAGTCTGCATCGCCTCCCCACATGGCTCAAACTACCAGTCAAAGACTTCATTCATTGATGCCATGTCTTAGTCTGGCCACCCGGGCGTTTTCCCAGCCTGGACCTACTTTGGTGAACATTGTGTGACGAGGCGATCGGCGACTAGTAATACGTAATACGTGTCCTAACCATCTCAATCGATGAAGGTTCATAACCTCGTCAACTGAAATACCTCTACTGCTTAAAACTCTACACCTGACTTCCACATTACTCACGTTGTGACACCATGAAATACGGCCTATACTAGGAAGGCGACGGTGGTCAAACACCTGAAGCCAGCCTTCTCATGTCTTCCACCTTCAATGTCCATGTTTCAGAGCCATGCAGTAGAACAGACCTGACTGCTATGCAGTGCACGCGACCCTTAATAGATAATCGGATATTACGGTGGCACCATAGGTCGTGTAAATTGGCAAAAGCTAGCCGAGCGTTTTGTATCTGTGCAGAGATTTCATTGGTCACTGAGCCACCTCGGCTGATCCTACTTCGCAAGTAAGTGAAGTGGTCAACACACTCAACCACTTCGCTGTCTATTGTTTTGCGTGGCAGCGTTGAAAACCAATCGCCATTTGGGTAGTGAGAACCGTATCCTAAACATTCCCAAATTGTCACGCAAAGTGTTCAGAACACTCTGCGTGTTGTCAGGGTCTTCACCTGACAGGACTATGTCATCTGCATATTCTAGGTCTAACGGAAGTTCTCCTGTGTTTAGGTCAACGTCTGTGTAATTAGGTGACGAGACGGGGACCTCCATAAGAATATCCATGATAGAAGTGAATGAGAATGGAGAGGGTGGGCACCCTTGACGGACACCACTCGATGAGCATAACACCCTGGACACCTCATCGTAAGCTGTAACACTCCCACAAGTGTTCAAGTGGAGAGTCTTCAATAATGTGATGTACTTACTCGACACGCTTTTCAGTGAGTGACATTGCCATAGGACTTCTCGATCAACGGAGTCGAATGCCGTCGCCTTCAGGTCGATAAATACAACCATTGTTGGGCGTCGGTAAGCTTGTCTGTGTTCTAGAACCTGGAACAGTGTGAATATTTAGTGGATAAACTCATGGCCAGGTCTAAAGTCTGCCTGGTTTTCTCGGGCTTACTGTTCCAGGCTCCAGTCAGACATCGATGAATCATAGGACCTAGGATCTCGGACGCTGTATTCGTCAGGTTGATTTCCCTGTGGTTATCACAAGAGGACTTCTCGCCTTTCTTGAAGACTGGGATAATCAGTGATTCAGACAAGTCAGAGGGGATCGTGTTTGGTTCCCATATGCTGGTTAACACTTCCGTTAACCTAACTAAGAGCACCTTACCACCATCCTTGTATACCTCTGTAGTTGGTGACTCTGGTCCTGCCGTCCTTTCTCGCTTCAGGTTACCTACAGCTTTCTCCACTTCTGCAAGTGTTGGGGGGCCTGTCTCTATGTCCCATTCAGGATCCGACTGGATAGCAGGCAACGTAATGGTGGCTGGGGATCAGTCAAATTGTTCCTCGAAGTGTTCTGCCCATCGTTCCAATTGCCTCCCCTGCGAGTGAATCGCAGATCCGTCCTTCTCTGCTATAGCCTCACTAACTGTTGTTGATCTTTTCTCCCCAGTCTCCTTAATATGTCTAAATAACTGTCTACTGTTACCGATCGCGGCTGCCATTTCCATCTCTTTAGCCTTCGCCGTCCACCACTGTTCGCGATCGCTGAGTAGATTTTTTCACAATATACTTTTTGTTGCGCTTGCTCTTCATTGTACTCAGAGCCTGCAGGAATGCGTTCACGTGCATCCATTAGTTTGGAAGAAACGGCCGATATCCACCGGCTCTTTCTAGCCACCTTTCGGAGTCGGCCACGCTTTTCAGCGCTGCTTTCACAGCAGACTGGAGATGACACTAAGCTTCTACTGGATGAGTTATAGTCTTCTGTTCCGATAACGGCGTAGCCAACTTCTCACTGAACACGGCTTTGGTGTTTTCGTTGTCCAACAGCACTCGTAGTGGTTTTGTTGCCAAATGTTTCCTATGTCCATTGAGACGCAGGCATGTACACGCTCGGACCAACACATGATCGCTGTTCGAATACGTAGACCAGAAGGAATGGCAGTCTTCCACCGATCCTGTGCAGCGGTGGCTGATAGCAATGTGGTCTGTCGGTGTCGATCGCTGGGTGGAGCTCGGTGGGCGCCACGTCAGACAGCGTCTTTGTTTACGTCTGAAATTTGTGCCAGCTAAAAGTGGGAGGTTATCTTGGCATAGTTGTAGTAGGCGATCACCATTATCTGTACGTTCAGCTGGGAGTCCGAAAGTGCCACCTAAGTGCCGTTTCTGCCTCACTCAGTCTGCCCATCCTGTACGTTGAAGTCATCTGCAACAACCACCACGTCCGAACGTTTGGCTGTCGAGAAGAGGCTAGACAGTTTACGGTAGAACTCGTCCTTCACTTCATCCGAACTACAGTCAGTGGGTGTGTAAGCAGAGATTACAAAGAGACAATGGCGAGTCTCCCTATTTTTTTGGTTCTCACTGTGCCATTCAGTCAGATAGCA